AAACATTCATCTGTGATCAGTTGATCATAATTTAATAATTTTTGATGTCATCTGCATACATTAAATAATTAACATTTAACTGGAAAACAAGGTCATTGAAAAAAACAGCAAACAAAAGGGGCCCCAAGACTCAACCCTGTGACATTTTAGAACCGTCATGGAACTCATTAGAATTGCATCCAAAACAAAGTATAAACCGTTTCCTCTTATGCAATATAACGTTAACAATGAAATAAACATAGGACAGAACCCGAAATCACTGAGTTTATTCATTAAGATAACATGATCTAACATTGATATATCCAAATAAATGAAGTCAGTTTGACAACCGTCATCTATGGAATCAACAATAAATTACGTAATGCAAAAATGATTTGTAATTGTAGTTCTAAATTTGGTCGTAAATTAAGAAGTCTAATATTTTGCCAAAATTATGGGTGATAAAAATACACCTATAGTTTTCAAACATGTACGATTATATACTTGTGTGGATTGGAATAATTTCAAATATGTATTTTCAAAATATTCGGGAACATTTCAGAACGCGGATGCATATGTTGAATACTCGTATGACAGACAAAGGTTCTAATAAAATACCAGCACAATCCGTCACAAGGAAAAGACGATTCCATCTGGTTCCTTAATGATTTTCTTTTACTCTTTTTTCTGGCTTGAAAAACATGTTCAGAACTCACATCCACCATTGTAACATTGTTAGTACTGCTACCGTTCAACTGACCGCAATCATCTATGATATTGTTACGGTTAGATTATCATTCTCACAAATAATAGTACCTAGTATCATCTGCATATAGACTTTATCGACATCGACTTTGTGCCAAACCGTGAGGCAAATCATTTATGTAAATTAGAAAAAGGAGTGCGTTAAGTATTGCTCCTTGTGATACACCAAAATTAAGTCAAAGCATCAAAGAGTTTCCTGCTATTACGATTTGTTAAATATCAACAATTCTACTAAATAAAAAAAAAAGTGTGTACTACTTTATGACCATTAATGTTTTCAAATTTCTAAAAATTGTTTAAACATGTTTCCAGTTTTAGAATTATTTGATATTCCTACAAATTTCAAATTTAGAAGCGAATTCGTGGTACTTCTTCACTATACATAACCAACAACTTAAAATACTAGATTTCAAGGTAATAGACATTGACTTCATTTTTTCTTGCGCATTCGTACCAAAATTAAAGTGTCAAATAAATTTGTATAATTAAAACGAAATGTACTTCAGTCAAAATATAGGTTTAAAGTGCAAACATTATTTTCAACAGTTTTTAATTACGCGACGAATGTTCTTACAAACTCATGTAAAAATAGAAATACTTTATATTATCGAAACATGGTTCACTAGAAATTAAAAAATTTGGACTTCTATGTCTAATTTCAGTTCAGTTTATCTGAACCGACCCCAAGCCGTAAACCCGCCCTCCTCTTCAAGGGGATATTATTTTCTTAAATCCAGCAACAGATCACCCCCCGAGAAACCGGCATTTCATTCATATTGTGTGAAATTAATAAAATTCGCTAAACACAAAGGTGGGTTTGGTTTCTGGAAAAAACATTTGGTCCTTGGAGCCGGATATCTCGAGGGACCAGTGGTAGTGTTTTCTGTTCCATCTTCGGCCATCACCAGCTTCACGACCAAGCGTGGACGACATCAGTAACAGGTTCACGACCAAGGGCACTTTCAGGCAGCGTGGGCGACATTAGCCACAGGTTCAGGACCAAGGGCACCTTCCGGCACCGTGAACGACATCAGCAATAGATTCATGACCAAGGGCACCTTCAGACAGCGTGGACATCATCATCAAACTTCACTACGAGATCAAGGTGGACTCCATCCATTTTCCATTTTTCCAGTTTTATTGACGTTGGATCGTAAGTAAACAATGAGTATTGAAGAGCTATCGGTTTTAAATATTAAGTGAGAAGCGATAAAACGCAAAATAACCTTGGCTCAAAACGCGATAAACGATTTCTATCATCTAAATAAAATACAACTTGTTTATTAGAAGTTCAAGAACATTTGACTAAAATTAGATCAATTTGTAACGCATTTTTCGACATTTAAACTCAAATTGAGGAATTGACAATTTCTTTATGACAAACATCCATCGCAGATCAAGGCTGTATTTTTGATAAGGAATTTTACATTTTATGTCATACAGGACTTAAAATTATTAGAATTAAAACATTTATCCAAATTTTCAACTAAAAGTGCTTTTAATTAAAATTGTCTAAATCAAAGTGATGTGAAACATTAGAGACTCTACATCTTGTGACCAATAAATCAGTTAGTAATCATGATAACTCCAAAAGGTGTTGTGTTTTTGATACTCAATTTTTCCTGTTTAATATATATGTAGTTCTAAAGATGAAACGATTGTATCGAAAAATGTAAGCAGATCTTAGTAAAAGTATACATAATACATATGTTTATGTGGCGTCGACTTAATTCTTTCAACGTTTTAAATAATCTATTTTAGTGTTCAGTATTTTTAAATTTAAAAGTAAGGAATAAAATTGACTTTGTATCATCAAAAAGATTATGTTCAAATTGTTTTCGTAATAATTATAATTCATCCAATTGTAAATCTCAATATCACAAACGCATCAATGTAAAGAACATTAAAATCCATTCCAATTATAAATTATACAGGGTGTTATTGAAAGGTACGTACAAAATAAAATCGGCAATTGGTCTCGAAGTATGGGTGCAAAAAGTTAAAAAATGTTCAGGTAAAAGTGTTCTCCTTTTAGAGATAAAAATTATTAAAATTTGTCCAAATTCGTCAAAAGATCATCTTTCGTTTCTATAGCAACATTTACTCTTGACAAAAGTTTTATTGTTACAGTTGCTAGGATTTACTAAAATAAATTAATTTTACCTATTTATCCTTCAGTAGCGTCTAAAAAGGTTGGATAAGGGTTAATTTTCCCCTTATAATTTTGATAACACAAAATAAGTTTTTCAAATTTCTTAGACTTCGCGACGAACTGTCCATTTTGTTGCACGTACCTTTCAATAACACCCTGTATACTTGAAATTTATCATGTGTTGTCATACCACAAATATCTGAATATTTACCATCAAATTCATTTTCAGTAACTAATTTAGAATTTCCAAATGACATTAAATTGGCAGATCCCACCTTTCATACAAGCGATTTGCTAACTGGTGCTCAAATTTTCTTTAAATTGTTGGAACCAAAACAAAGAGTTCCGATTCAAAACTTTCTCCTACAAGAGAGTAATTAGACTGATAAATCATAAATCAAGGGTCGTGTCATTATGTTAAACCTGTCTTCGACCAAATGATCAGCAAATTTTGGGAATTAGACAGTTTCTGCTATTCAGAGGTAATTTACCTTCTATAAGTACCTGGAAATTAAACGAACATTTCAAGTTGCTATTACTTACCTCATAATGGGTTTTCAAGGAGAGTAGTACAACAAAAGATTTCAAAAATTTGTATGGCGATCTGATGAAAATTCACATACGGATTTAAAACGTCCTAAACGGTAAAGCCACTCTCATCTTTAAAGTTTTTTTTTTTTTAAATCCAGCAATAAGAGAGGTAAGCATGGTCGGAGACAAGCAACGAGAGACCGGCATTTCATTCATGTTGTGTGAAATTAATAAAATTCGCTACATATAAACATCAGTTTAATTTCCGCAGGAAACAACCTCAAGAGAAGTTTCTTTTATTTCACTATACCGAGTTTCATTTCCGCTCCAATGAAAATAAAATTTCACATATCCCTTTCAGCCATCCGTACGGTGATCAATTAATTCATCGTCGAGACGAACGCCAGCTATTAATTAAAAAAAAATCTTAATGAAATTAATTTTGGTAGCAGAAGCACGCGGAAGTGAATTTAAAAATTTCTTATTTAACCAAAAAAAAACATTTACATATCAACATAATAAAATTAGGATTTTCACTTTTTTATCATAATTTTTTCTATTGCAATAAAAAAAGTTACGCATTAATTAATAATTATTGGCTCATCTGAGTCATCTGTCTAAACATTGTTTGCTTTTCAGAATACCTTTTTTGTCCTCTTTTTTAAGTAATAAATATCCCAACAAAAATTTCGCATTTAAATATATTTCTGTAAATTTTTCTTCTTAAAAAAAAGTCCCAAAGCTTAGAAGGCTACATTTATTTAACTACAACTGTGTTATTGTCTGCCATTTTTCAGTCGTCGCGTCGTCACCCCTTTGTTGTACAGAGTACACTCTCCAACAAAAAATAAATTGTCAAAATAGTTAGCACACTACACACATGACTCTTAAAATTTTTGTAGCTCAAGGAAACTTATTCATTTACACAACAACAAAAAATACCTTGAATTTGAAATTGGATTGTACTTGTGTTGATGACACAGTGGAACTGTTAAAAATACTAAAGACTATTAAATAAATTAAATTAAGTTATTTTTTATTAGTTAGTTAGATTCAAAAGTTTGTAACCTGTATTTTTACGAAGTACTTCAGTCCCAGTAAGTAGTTTTACTTTTAAATTTCATCGTATTTTAATTATGGATTAAATTAGTCCGTAGTGACTAAAAATTTTCCTTTTGATAACTTGTGACCAGTGCGTACACGAGAAAATTGTATTTGCGTTCTAACATTTCATTTCAAGAAATACATACTCCAAAAGTTTTAATTTAATATCGTGAATCCTCGGTATTTTTTAAATACTAATTATATTCAAAATTATGTACCTATTAATAACCTTAGTTAAGTGAATATATACCGGCTAAATTAGAGAAAGTGTAAGGAAATTTCGTAATAATTCTAAGTCAACAGCAATTTTTGAATATATGAGTGCATTTATAATTTTTGTTTATTAAAGATTCCTTACTTATCACGTGAAAATTGACATAGTGTGATTGGAGAATAGCAGCAAACATGTGCTACTATTCTTAGGTACTTGAAATAAATTCAGTGTTATAAAAAAATCACGAAAACGGACTTTTATTAAACTCACATTTATTTTGTATAAACATTCTCATGACTGATGATTTCTCGGTGGTAAACATTTCCTATCAATAAATAAATGAACAAAAAAAATTATTTAATTGTTCAAGCAAAGTATACATTCTGAACACATTAACCTGTAGGTAATATTCGCAACTGACGTAGTTGGTAAACTGTCAGTCTAATTTAATGTCCGATAATACTGTTACCAACAAACTTTATCATAAACACAACCTTGTGGTTTAATAGTATTTGTCACTTTACACATTGCAAGGACAAGTAAAAAGTTGAATACCTAACTAAAATTCAAACAAATTGAACTCACCACTAAATGTAAAAATGTAATAACAGTCAGAATAACAATAACAACCACTCTTACATTAAAGTCGCATGACTAGCACAAGCATGATTAAACCTATAGTCCAGATAGATCATTCCAGTACAGTGCCAGTAGTACAAAGCTGCCAACACTAAAATGTGCCACCACTGATGCGAATGTCCAAAATAATCAAACTTCCCGGAGCAAAATCTTTCAGGTACTTTCGTTATATAAATACAAAACGCTGTTCCCGTTATCATATACATCCCTATCACTCTAGGGAGGAGAAGCTGGAAAAACATAGAAAATAATTTTAAGTAATTTTACTCAAATTTTTACTTACGCAAACTATTGGACTTTCGAACCATCCCATATGTATCGCCCAGTGCAATGTTGGTACGACCCCATAAGCCGCCCAGGCCACAAACACCATCATTTTCACATTGGCATTAACATTGAAACTTGGAATATGCAAACCCATCGCTATTGCAAATATAACCGTCACAGTAAATAGATAGAACTTCAAGTGTCCCGGATCGCACCAAAAAGCATAATAGATTCCTGAGATGTAAATTGCAAGAAGCGACATAGCGATTCCGAATAAATCAAACGTAAGGAAAATGTCAAAATCACGAGCTGACCGACAAGAGAAGGTGTGGTACATTGATGATAACAACATACATATCTGTAACACAGAAAATTAGAGGCCACATAGGTGAGTAAAATAATGGAAGTACCTGGAAGCACGTTAAAACGAAGCCTACAATTAGTTTGTCCGAGAAATGTGCATAAACGTCCAGCGTTGCAAAATCCCGTATTGATGCTAGCAGGAAAAGAACGAATCCGAACATGTGGGACCATATGTTGATTGTTTCGTTCGTCCACCAAAATACACTAAAAAGGAACGTAAAATAAAATAATTAATTAAAATTTTCGGGATTTTTGTTGTTTAAATATAAATATCTGGTTGATTTTGTAGTTCGTTATAAAAGAATGATGCTGCTTTTGAGAAAAGTATACTTTAATATAAAAATACGGATAGGGTAGAAACTACTAATAATTGTAAAAGTAAACAATTTTCTATTATTTTAGTTTTTGATAGGTAGTATCTGTATCTTCAATTGTTTTTGAAATTCACAAACATGTAAAATTTCTTAAAGGGTAACAAAACTGAAAATTCTGTACTACTGGAGTAAATGCTCAAATAATAATCAACAACTTTTTACGTGTGTCATTTTTTTTTTTAAATTGTGCAAAGCCCAAAGTAATAAATAAATAAACGTAATAATCTGAAGAACTCTTGAAAATAAAGCTAATAAGTGTGAGTTCCTTGAAAAAGTCTTTCAAGGTAAGTACTATCTACAAATAACAAAAAATATAGCATTCTATTAAACAATTCATATTACGTCATAGCTCGAAAAACGTTGACGTCACAAATAGGTACAGCCGAGGGTGCAGCAATTAGGGAGGATAATTATAAATACAAATTAACTTGTTTAGCGTTTTCGACAAATACCATTAGTTTTGAATTTACTGAATTTATTCCGTGAGTAGTTTCAACACTGTATATATTAATATTTAGTTGGTTGTTTTCAACAAAATAATGTTGTCAAGGATACAAATATAAAATTTGGTAGGTATAAATACAGTGTCAGAGCTAAACGCCAAATCCTTGGCTTACTGCAAGTTTGGAATTAATACGTCAGAAAAAAATGTTAGTTAACTACTTTATGAAATACTGATTTATGAATAAGTAGCAGACAATGAATATTTATAGTGTTTTTACACTGTTGATCGTGATTGAAAATATTTTACAGGACTCTTATTAGTTTAAAAATCTGTCGGTAATGTTTTCGCGTTGTTTTTTTTTGCATAATGATACAATAACTGTGACAGTACAGAAATCATTGATGATCACGCGAAACCTACAACTTCCTCCATATAAGTATATTCAGCTGATTTAGTCTCATCATGATGGTCATGGAAATATAAATGTAGCTATGGAGACAAACATTGTTATTTGGAGCTATTTTTAAGTATTCTTATTCGTGTAACTTATTGCTGCTGATAACACCTTCTATTATCTAAATTTATTATTTTCCTCTAACAAATTTACTGATAACTGAATTTCAAAACATTTAAAAAGTCACATTTTCATACTGAATTTTTCAAAAATCTTCATCAAGGGCCATTGACGCTCTACATGGTGATTCAAAAATGGTGCACTAACACAATGGTACATTATTAAGATTCCAAGTCTTAAAAATTCGAGAAAAATAATTTTAAAGAAAGGTGAAAAATTAGCCACTGTTTACAGCTTCATTCTGAACAATTTTTAAGTTTATCATGATATTATAAAATAAAATGAACTATGAATAAATTATGATCAATTTCATGTAGCCCACACTGAGTAGTGAATATGGTCAAATGTCTAAAAAAAAGTTAAACTTTGAAGAAATTATTTTTCGCATCAGCTCGTCGCGACATACTGTATTGAGGATTTTTAGACACCTTCTTAACAATCTCAATTTTTCAATACATTTTGGAATTTCTTTATCGTTCTTCGAGCTTTCGAGATATTAAAAAAAAATTTCTAACCGAATTTTTCGAAAATCTTGATCCGGGGCCACACGTTATGTTTTTCGAATCAGTTCGTCGAGATTTACAGGATATTTCAGAGCAGTAGTACATCATTTTAAAACGGAATTATATGGAAAAAGAGTGAAAAGTTTTAGTAAAACTCAGATCATTTCTCAAAAATAGAGAAGGTAGAGAATTTTTGAATTCCTACGTTGCCGTATCAAAACCACTTTAGACAATCGCTAATTTTATTATAAAAAAAATGGTTTAAACAATTTATGGTTTTCCTAAGAGTTACCTTGGAAACGCCATAAAAATTGAACGAAGTCTTTACTAAGGTGTTACAATGGGAATTGTTTTCTTATATTATTATTTATTAATTACCATGGAAAATAATTTTGATGATTCACGAAATTTTAACATCCTCTGACAACCATATTTTAAAGATTTGACCATGCTTTCGTTAGCACTTACAATTTTTTGAGCATTTTTGGGCAACTTTTCAAAAAACATAAATTTTCAGTACCACCACCTTGTATAAATATTTTGATCGTTTAAATTTTCATATTCAAACCGAATTTTCTGAAAATTTTATTTTGGGGAAAATTAGCACTTTATATTTTTCGAAATCAGCTTGTCGAGATTCCAGAATTTGTTGAGGAGTTTTCGGCAACTTTCCAAAAATTTGAATTTTCAATAGATAATATTGTATTATTTTTATTTGATCTTTCTTTGGGTTTTTTAAATATTTAAAAAAACACATTTTTAGGCAACTTTTAAAAAATATCAATGTTTCGTTACATTTTTTTTTTCTGGTAGTTTTTAGCTCTAGCTTATTAAAAATCATTTTCAAATCGAATCTTGCGACAACATTGTTCAGGCACCATTAACAATTTATTTTTTCGAATCAGCTCGTCGAGATCTATAAACCAGAATGTTTTCAGAATTTTTAGCCAATTTCCAAAAATCTCAAATTTCAATTTTCCCGTATGAATGTTTTGACTTTTTCGAGATTTCGAAATCGTGATCCGGAAACATACGTTATGTGGTAGGAATCAGCTCTTCGAGATTTATATAGCAGAATTTTTTCAAAAATCTTAAATTTTCAATACATTTCCACGTATGAATTTTTGAACGTTTTTCGAAATTTGAGATAAAGAACAGTCGCATTTTCAAACCGAATTTTTCAAAATCTTGTTCGGGGACAATTAGGGTAAATGTGTACAAGAGTGCGAATATGTATAAGAGTACGCACTAATGATTTCTGCTTATTAGTGCCATCTGGGTAAGATGAAGTTATACCATTCAGAATTTAATGCTAAACCTGAGATAAAGGTGCAAAAGTGACCTGAATATAGTTTATAGTTTGGTCGTACTGACGATTTTATGTGCACACGTTGTGTGGATGTAATTTTTACCACTCATAGTTTTAGTTTTTTGTAATGTACGTACCAGTTCTTTTATTTTACAGTAATAATTTTCATTAGTTGTAACGTTTAAGGTCTCGTTATACACTAACAGTTTTATACTTTCTATCCATCAAAAGCTTTTAACTTTGAAAACATTAGGTTATGTACAAATGTACAAGAGTGCGCATCGAGGTATTGTATAAGAGTGCGCATTGCTTGCGATACGTAGTCTAATAGTCTTGGAGATACATATCATACGATAATGAATTATTTAACTCTACTACTTTGTACTGCTTCTCAAGTTGTGCGGTGGTGGTCATTGTGATTTTTTTTTTATTTTTACTTCCTGAGCGTGTTGTAATCGAGTCCGTCCACCGACTCTCTATTTTTACGTTTTCTAGACTTTTCAAAACCCCTAGAGTACGAAGAAATAGGTCTTTCGTTTTATGTGTAGTCTGTAGTCACTTATTCCCATTTATTTTCACCTTAGAAACAAATATTTTTTCATAAAATGTAATGCGCACTCATAAGCGTTCAAATGCACACTCTTGTGCAATGAACTGTCTAAGAGTGCGCATTTACACATCTTGACAAAAATTGAAATTACTCTTAAAATATAGTGGTCTTGAGACGTGCAATTAAATATATCTGATCTCTAAACATGTATACAACGAACCCATATCATAAAATTTATCTATCCAAAAAAATTAAAAAGTTATTGACAGTTTTACACTAAGTGCGTACTCTTGTACACATTTACCCTAATAATTTATATTTTTCGAATCAACTCGTCCAGATCTATATTCCAGAATTTTTTGAGGATTTTTAGGCAACTTTTCAAAAACATCACTTTTTCTATACAATCTAGGTAAACGGTAATTTTGATTAACGATTTACAAGCCTGAATGCAATTTCGCAGTTTCAAAATTCAATTGAAGTACCATAAAATTCCATTTGCTGAAAGGTTGATTCTGTATTTTCTCGACATTTCTTAACTCTTACAGTACGAAAAAGTAGGTCCTCGTCCCCTCGTCTCTTTGTAATTTGTAACCCCCACCACTAATTGGATGACATCATTGGAAAAATGTTACCCTATTTAAAATATAAATAATGAATAATAGACTTTGATGTTTGTGATTTTGGAAAAACGATTAGCTGTAGAATCGTACAAAAAAATATATAACTTAACTAGAAACAACAAAACCGCTTATTTGAAATTTTGCACATCCATAAGATTATCGTATACATACTAAGCCGCTAATCAGAATTCATCTATTCATTCCTTCCAAAATTTGACGACGTCATCTCAAAATTTTATTACTTAAGTCTCTGTTAAAATGTGTACTATATGCTCCTGTAATTAAGGTTAATAATGCAACAATATTTTTAGTAATAAATCAATCAATTTTATTGATTAAATTAAATAATTAAACAGAATGGTTTATCAAATTTTCCAAAAATTCCCTTAACACAGTGTACTATATTTTAAGCAGTTTCATAATTTATTCACAAAACTAGAATTTGTTGACTGTGCTTCAGGTATGAATAAATAAATTTAGACTAATTTTTCATTGGAGCAAGACCCCGACATTCATTTTCATGCGTTTAAGTACCACCGAGGCCAAACAAAAAGCTAGGTACTTGTGTACGATAACAGCTCCATTTATTTAATTGTCTACAATAACATAAAATTATAGTAATTAGGTGTATGTCGGACTTGATAAGATACTACGTCAATACATGCTCGAAAAGTTCTGTCACTAAACAAAAAAGAACTGTATTTTTACTTCCCGAGCGTAAGCCAAGGAACTAAAGTAACCTCATTTGACATACACTTGTTAAAACTTTTATGACTTAAGCGGCTTAAGCCAAACCACCCTCACTGCCCATTCACAATGGACATAAGACATAAGAACGAGTGCATAACATAATTTATGTTTTTGGTTTGTGTCTGGCTTATGCTTATCTACGTTCACAGTGGACAGAGTGAACTCTGTAAGAATTGTTAAACTGCGCAAACGCAGAACGGAATAACTCCCGGCTAAACATAGAAACGGCTAACCTCAAACTGAGTCAATCAAAATATCTAACCTACAATTTCGTACGATACTCGAACTTGACAACTCGCAGTACAGAACAAACTCGCAGTGTGAAGCTTTGATTATAATTTATATAAATATAATCAAAGGTGTGAAGTGCCAAGTGCCAACTGTCAAAGGGAATTCAATAGCAGCATTCAAAAGTCCCTAGATTTTAACATAATTTTGACATAATTCGTGCACAAAGTTGAACTTATTTCAACTTTGTGTACGCACACAAGGATTACATAAAACGTTCATAAGCATAAGAATTACGTTCGTCCACTGTGAACAGGGGTACACGTTTTCCATCGTTTCAACTTTATGTATTTATGTAAGCTTTATGTACTTGTTATGCCTTATGTCCATTGTGAATGGGCAGTTATAAGTCAAACTGGCTATTGTATTACTTAACTCAGTTCACAGCTACATTATGCCAACAATGCGGTTCGGGTCAACAAAGCTTACAATAGCCAGTATAAGGGTGCTTTGGCTTAAGCCGCTTAAGTCATAAAAGTTTTAACAGGTATCTGTCAAATGAGGTTACAGTATAGTAATCGAGTCCATCGGCCGAATTGCCACTTTCATATTTTCTCGACGTGTCGTGATCTCTAGAGTACGAAAAAAGTGGTCTCCCATTTCTGTCTGTCTGTCTGTCTGTCTGTCTGTATCCATTTTTATTAAACAAGTAATCTCCAAACTTACTCGACCGATTGTTATTGTCACATTTGTATGTATATTAGGAGTATCATGTAGATAGTTAAACGCTAACTAAAATTTGAATAATCATCCCCACCACCAGGGGATGACGTCACCTTCAGAATTTGTAATAAAAAGTTTTTTTAATTTCAGAAAATAAGTTAACCCTGCACTTGTGGTGTGTGAATCCGTCTCGAATTTTCACCCTAGATATCCAGAATTTTTGGAAAAAATTCAAAACTGAATAGCAATATTTTACAATATAACTTTGAAACTGCAAAACAGATTGCTCTGAAATCTTGTAAATATTTTAAGGTTATCGTAATCATGGTAAAGCGTTAAGCAAAATTTATTCGTTTACCCCATCCCAAAAATTTGACGACGTCATCTCAAATGTTGCCGAATAAATGCTATCCAAAATGTGCAAAATATGATAAGTAGACAGCGGATTTCTGTCGGGCTACGTCACGATTATAGGTGGGGACGCGCTGGATCGCCGGGACTCAGTAGCGGGTGATAGATAATCACTGAATTTAATCATAACTTATTCCACAAATATAATTAATGATTTATTAATCAAACGGCTAAGTAAATGAGAACGGGAATTAACAGCAGAGTGCAACGAAACAGCGTTATTCTAATCTCAAATAAACGAAGTGCAGCGCGTAACTTCAATGAATTCCCATCCCGTACGAGCCGTACCGAGTTTGGCCTTCCCTAGCCCGACAGAAATCCGCTCTCTAATGATAAGTCCATACTTGTGATTTATCATTGCATAAAAACTAATTAAAGAGTCAATTTATTTGATTGAATAAATCGGGAACGGTTCACTCCGTTTTCCCTAAAATTTGAAAATACAATACATAGATTTTTATTTCAAACGAAAAACAGTATTGCACAGCTACGAGAACACTTTACCAAACTACTTTCGAAAGAAAGTAAAGAGTAAACAATCACTAGTAGGACAAATAGGAAAGACATGGCTCTTTGTGTCTGTTTGTGTTTTTCTCTTCAAAGTTACAATTTCATTTTAATGATTTAGAAACTCAACATCAACAGTTGTATTTGGTGCATGATTACTTTTTGAGTTCTCAAAACTTATTTTGTCATACTTCACACAGCGTAAGTATCACAACAGAAGCAGTTCTGTAATGTTATTTTATTTTTATAACGTGACTGGACAGAGTGACAGATGTTTGTGTTTTAAAAAATGCAATAAGTAAATAATACAAAACTACAGATTTTATAAAAATAACCTGGATAAATTAAAAAAACGACTAAAATGGAATTTTTGAGTGTCCCAGAAGTTTAAAAAATCTCTAGAAATAACTTCTAATGTCGATTACCTAACACGTGCAAAAAATACAACACAAGTAGATGAAGGAGTGTTGAGATATAATTTGTACTAAAATTTACATATTTTAAGATTAATTATTAAAACGGTACAAAACCAAGGTTTTAAAAGGCGACAAAATTTACTTTTTTAAATTGATTGTCACAAGTATTACAACTAAGTTTTCCATACAAAATAAAATGAACCCCAGTTCAAAATGGCAGCAAAAATTTTATAATCTGTCAACGTAAAGTTTGCAATGAAAACATGAAAAGGTGATACCCGGATTCCTGTAGACTGTAGAACAAAAACAGTGCAAATACACCTTCAGCTTTGTCAATACATTGATCAAACAACCGCTTTGCTGTAGCGGTAATGATGAAATGTCAAAAAATTATGTTAAGGCAGCCTTCAGTGCCTTCACTTTAAATAACTACCTTTCTCAATTTATATGGTCTTCACACCGCTAGCGTAAACTATTATAAACTTTTACAAACTATATTCGTTTATGTGGAATTTCCGACTGGTGGTTTCTTATAGTGGCCAACGGCAATCTAATTAATTTAGGAGGATATTTGATCATACAAAACAGGTTAAGTATACGTGTCATATTTGAAAATTTTTGTTGCACTATACATTATGCTGAATTACTTACCTTTCCAGACATTGTTGCGTGTTCAAAATTCCTCTATATCCTGTTAAAATGAACATATTATGTTTGATAAACTCTGGAGCCTCCTTGAAACTACAGAGTTTTCTTTCTGTTTGACAATAAGTCTCTTCGTTAGACTCCATACTACTAATCGTTCCATCCTGATGTTTCATGTTCCGTGGAACAGATCTCTTAACGAGACCCGTTACCAGACTTCCTGCATAATCACAGTCCTGCAACATACAGGGGCCTGTTTAATATAATAGTCAGTGTTAAAGTGGATTTTCATCGCCGCGAATTTTGAGTGGAAAATTTACTTCATAATTTAGGCCGCATGGAGGTTGCAGGAGCTCCTGCAGCTTCTACATTCCTGCTAGACGTGTGCAATAAGCGACACTGACGCCACGAGACTGACAATTGACAGACGCTGTCTTTTAGACAGCGACACATCACTTATTTATTCAAGTTTAAACGCAACAACGAGTTATTCCGAGTCGAAAAGAAAATAAAATCATTCGCCGACACATTTTCTTACGGTGTAAAATAATCAATTTTCTCGTTAACAACTTCCTCGCTATTCTAGTCTCCGCGTTCTACAAAGTTTCTGAAGAAGAGAAACTACGTCATCTTGAGACAAGGCTAAGCAATTTAAATTTTTACTTTAGGTAGGAGGAAAGCAGGTGACGGTGGTATAATCATTAATTATAAAACGACAAAGTGGTTTTGTCTTCGTTAGAGAAATTGGACTCACATTTGTCTTTTTTTTTTAATTATAAACATGGAAAAACGAATGAAAGTAATTTCCTGTAGTCCTGCTACACGCGAAGTTCATTTACGCAAGGTAAATTGTCATCGGCGGATGTCACTTCCTAGTTTCATACATTAATTTCAAAAAACAAATAACGGAAATGTTACAATTCCAAAGCGTAATGACAACACGAAGTTACAAAAATTTCGGTGGTAATCATAACATTAATATTGCTGATTGCAGTAACCTTGAACTGATGAAGAAACTATCAAGAAATATAGGACACTAACACAGAAATGATTTACATAACATCCATTGTCATGCAAAGCGTCACTGTGTAAACTAATAGTGCATAAATAATCGCGTTAAAAGATGAAACAAAAATTCGCCTGCTTTGAAACTAGAATTTTTTCTAAGGAGAAAGTGTAAATTGAGGAAAGACATTCACATTTTCATAAGATGATCTCCCTCTACTTTCTCTCTTCAGTTTTTTTTTTAAAGTATTGTAAGAAAGCAGGTTCCGTTCCAAGTAGGTTATGATACCTTGTGGGTCTCGTCAGCTGATTACCATTATTAACTTTTAAAACTCCCTACAAGTCAATTACAATCAGCTGTTATACCTTCGATTTTCTCTACCCTGGGAAAGCATAAGTACATATATTTACGGTCTTTCGATTTGCGTGTGACCGTCTACTATATTTATAATATAAAGCAAACCCGATTTCCTTTACATTTACAACAAGAAGAAAGTATAGTTCACTCACCTTATCACTACAACAAGTTTCATTGTCATTATTGTCTGTCTTCGGTATATCATGTTTCGCTGTGATGCTAACAGTCATAATTTCTGCAAACATAATAACGTATGACTGTTTGTGACAACTTTAATAAATCTTGCTACAGAAGAATTTGTTTCAAAGCAATTCTGGAAAAATAATACCTAGTAGAAAATTAAGCACACGTGCTCATAAAGTTAGTACCAATAACACGAAAAGTTAAAAACAAGTTCAAGTTCAGACACATTTATTTTTAAAACCAAGTCTAAGTACGAGTTAAAAACTACGAATAAATTTTTGCGAGAAAACAAGTTTCATTAGACGTATTTCCTTGTAGCCTTGGCTAGTTTCAGACAAGCGGGAAGCACATTTAGAACAAAAAAAGCATGACCTCATTTTCACAAAGTTCCATTTGCAAAAAATAAAAAGTAACATACTTGGCTTTTTGCTCGTGTTGTAATAATTTATAATGACCTTACCTAGTTCTAAACTATTTTGTCTAAAGTTGTTCCACTTTCTCCGAGATGCACATATTCAGCGTGCGATGTCTATGTAACTTGGTGTATTTGTGATATTACATTGTTTTAAGTTTTTTTGCTCTGTAGAACTGGTTATTAAATATTTTCTAGCATGAAGACTTAAATCTCGAAAGTAGAATTATCGCGATGGGATTTTAACGATATTTGGCTATCCCGTAATTACCTGTCATGTTCATGATACTGTACTTTTTTTTTGGTGTGGAGAAAATAAGGTACTAATTTTCACTATTTTCACTTTCCGTATTTATATATGTTTTCAAGCTTAATATGGAGAGATAACAGTGCAACACATTAAGGCAATTGTCAGAAAAATTCGAATTCAAATATTTTACAAAATTTAGGTCGTCTGAACGTAGTAATACTCATTACACATTTTCAGAAATACTTTTAGACAATTTTTTTTAATTTTTGACATAAGCTGTACGAGTAAAATATTCTACATTTTTGTTACATTTATTTTTCAGAAAAATGTATCGATAGGTTCTTTTATCTATTTAGAGAAGTAGTAGGGTTCCCTACCATGAAAATCAGTTAAAACAGTTCTTTTTACCGTAAAAGTAGACGTTTTCAGTAATATTTTTTGGTAATAAAAATAACTGTTAACCTACTTTTATTTCAATGTGGATTATAATATGAAGTTTTATTCCACTGCATCTTGTCTACCTTGATTATTTATTGATAAAATGATAAAAAACATATGATTAAACTGGGCCGAATTATAATCAATGCAGTTTTTTTAACATAATGTAGGTCAAACAAATAAGCATAGAACTACACATAATTTAAAACATCATAAATTACACTTACACCACGGAAAATACCAAATTTATTAAAAATAAAAAATCTACCACACCGTAAAACTACACAGAACACATGTTGTGAAAATATTTACCTTCATTTATATAATTCGTCACGGTACAGAACAAAGTTATTGATAATTTATAGTTTTCTACATACATTTTAATGAAAATAATTTGTGCCACAAAAAGTAACGATTACATAATACGATGAACAATAAAATGAGAAAGTTCTCTACATTTCTGTTAAACATGTAAACAAACCATAAAAAAGAAAAGTAGTTTTTTTCTAATTAAACGTTACTACGGTAATAATCAAATTAAAACTACATTAATTTTGTAACAGTGCTACATTCGCAAATCTCTAATTTATAAATATATATCACTGCACATAAAATGCAATGAATGTGAGCAAAACTGGAACCAATTAATAATATATTACCGAATCTAGGATATTATGTAATATTATACACATGGGTAAATGCATTAAAACAAGACCCAAACGAGGTGACTAACTTTTTTCTTGTATTTGTTAGCACTAAATTTAAGAAACAACCATGAGAAACACTATATTATGCAAAATTACTGAACTTTTCTCACTAAAAACTATAAGCTCTAAAAAAGAATTACCAATCTAACCCGATATACTTTGATATGCTCAGGTTTGTAGATTTTGTATTCTCGGTACATACAAAATATTTGCAGAAAATGTACTAAGATTGAATAAGGATGAATTAAATTACAATGGAAAGTGAAAAGAGTGTGCCATTTTTAATACCAATATTATCACTCCACGTAACCAGTCAAATGCTCAAAATTCAAATATAAACCTTGTTTTTAAACACTTAAAAATTCATGGAAACACACGTTTATCTTTGTAAATTGTGGGCATTTCCCACTATATCGTTACTGTAAGCGAAAAAGTATACCTACTATTGTAAACAAATAAAATGAAAAGTACGTGTACTTATTACTACCATAAACTAAACCATTTGCATTTCGTTGTAGCTTGTTAGTATGACAACAAGGATTCCCAGCTGTTATTTTAAATTGGCGTAATCAAAATACAAAGAGTTAATATAGCTTAGAAAATTAGTCTAGACACGAAGTTACAATTTTATTTAATTTAATATTCAACGTAATGAAGCAATATTATCAATGGAATTTTATTGAACTAAGTAGTCTACGAAACTTTGAATAACAACGGCGAAAGGAACACACACAGTTCTCGTTTTTTTTTCACAGTGGAATAAAACGTTGCCTTACTTAAAAGAGTCAGAGATACTAACTTATTCAATTATTAACGTTCAATCAATGATATGAATAATAAAAACCACGTGGAGTGGAGACTCTTCCAAAAAACATTCACATAGACAAAATAATGTATGATTTCTATTACAATTATTACTACAACATGGTATGAGCATCATCCTGCGGTAAATTTTTTTTAATCGCCTCAATATTTGACGTCGATATTTTCGTAAGGTCAACCAGATTGAATGAAACAAAAAACTATATGAATGTTGAAATACAACTAACAATGAATAAAAACAAAACAAAGAAATTAACATAACTAATAAATAAATTGAGAAATTCTTACTTACATTTAGAAAAGTCAAAAAGCACGTTTTTTCATACAATTTAAAAATAATATCGCACTTTCTAACAACACTGTTGTAAATACAACGTCAACATTGGCGCAGGTGCGGACTGCTGCGCGGTTAGTGAACGACTGAATACCCATCCATGAAATTTCAATTTCGAAATATAGTGACCTCCTTAACGATGTTTAGGTTGATGGTGTCTTACAGAAAAATGGACATAATACTAATCCACAGTGGGGATGCGAGTGATGTGTCAGCGTGAGTGGTAGCTTTATGGAGAAGTAGAAATAAAATTAATGTTATTGTGGTGCGAGATACGGGTTAAAAGGCGATCATGCGGAACATTGGAATCTGAGAAAATCGTAATAATTTAAAAAACTAGATTCGTAACTTTGATGAAAATCGACTGAAAACAGTCAGCTTTTTCATATTCGTCTCTAGACTAAGGCCAAGAGTCCAGTTACTAGTGGTGAATAATTTATTGGGGTTTTCTGCTAATTTTAAATAATTAAAAAAAAAATTAATTACTTTACGACTGGTAATAAATAGGTAAAAAAAAAAGAGTGTTTCCGCCCGGGATCGAACCGGGGACCTTCCGCGTGTTAGGCGGATGTGATAACCACTACACCACGGAAACATCTTACTTAACTGTGCGTTCTGAAATGTGATAACGGTAAACATCACTTATATTTAACAAAATGACTATTATATTTTTTTGCAATTATAAATAAACAATATAAACTGTAAAACATATCTATTTATCTAGGATATATGTAATAAATTTATATAATGAACTACACCGAAAGGTAAACGTATGTGTGTCAATCTAATATAAGGCTTTCATCAATGTTTCTTCCTTCCAGTGACCCGTGAAATTTAAAATATTAGACTTCTGAGTAATGATGGACATTTTGGACTTTTATTTTAATTCCAGGCAATTTGTTGTAATAAAATAGTACGATGGCACATAAATCATTAATTAAATAATTAAACTTCTTTGGAAATGGTTCCCGCTCCAGAAAGTTACTTAATCAAATACCTATAATTTGAATAAGAAATTAAGAAAAACGTTAAACATAGACAAACATCTGCAGAGATATTCGTTTAGTGTGGTTGACCGTCTAGAAAACTAGAACTGTCACTTTTTAGGTTGATAGTTGGTTAAGGGATTGGTAGTCGGTTGGTAAGGCAGAGAAAGTGCCCCCACTTGTCGTCTATTTTTTGGCGATGTTGCTTGTGAATGTAAACACGTGGTGAAAATAAGGGTAAGGCAAATTAAGTTTGTGGGTTTCTCCCCCAACAAGCGTAATTAATTATTATTAATGTTTTTCTGATCTGAAATGTTCTGAATTTTCATCGATGTCAACATGTGGTGTCAATTTTTGTTATTGTTTGTAAATTCACAGTTCATGGTAAGCTTTGCAACTGTTTCTGGTTCAAACTTAATACAATTTAACAGTCATGGAATTGTACCTAGAAACCACGTGTTAGGAAATTTACTTATTCAGAATTCACTCTTTTAATTACAGCAAACCCAGAATGTGTTTGCGAGCGGCGGGGGTGCGCAGTTGACGCATTTGTAAGCTCATTCCACCCAACACAGTACAATAACAAAGTGCATTGGCCGCCATTGGCGTATATAAGATTTTTTTAGCATACGATGACCTCTACGAACCGCAAACCAGTATCACGCCACTGGAACTACCCTTCCACTGCGCCCTTATGACGTCATCTGCGGACTTGTATCCCCACCGCTCGCCATCACATTCTGGGTTTGCTCTATCAAGTTATAACTAAAGTTCATTTGTAACACACTTCTTACTCGAGATTAACAATAATTCATCTATGGTGTTTAAACTAACCTAAACGTTGATCCATTTTGGGAGAAAGGACCTTGAAATTTACACCATCAAATTCACACCCTTGTGGACCCGAAGAACGCGAAGGCTTTAATATTTTCTTACAAGTTTAATAGTTTCTTGCAGGTCTAATTATTCTCTTCCAGGTTTAATAATTTTCTTGCAGCTTGAATTTGAACACTTATAATCGAAGTACGCTGAGCGTTTCCGAGACCAACTTGTGTAACTTCTTTGTTGCTTGAAATCGTTGATATATTGTGGTATCATTTAACATCATGTACATTCTTTGTTGGTTGAAACTCTTGATAGAGTGTGGCGTAATTAATTTAAAGGAGTAATTGTAATACTCATTCACTCATCATTAATTAATAATTAAAACAAAAATGCACAGGTTCGCGTGGCGAAAGCGAGTAACATGGTTTCTCGCTAAGTTTGCGGGTTTGTCATTGCCCAAATAGATGGGAACACCCGCGTCTGAGTGATGCATAACTTGGCCCAATAGTTGGTTGTTTTGCGAAGACGGGGTAAAGCGTATAATATGCGGCATACTTTTTTGGGCATAGAAATATGGAGTGTGTGTTATACCTGTATATAGATCGAGAATTAATTATAGCATAATTTTCTTTCATTCTCTTGTTTTTTGAAAAGTCGTTTGGGTTAGGTTTTCCATACATTCGTAGTGATCCACATTCTCTAAGGTTAGATGACAGCAGTAAAATCGGATCTTTTGTGTACAACTTGTTTACCTTTATTGTAACATTCATGACCATATTTACTTGTGAATTATTTCTTGCATGAATTTTTTACTTCCCGACTGTAAACTAAAGAAGTGTTAGTAGAGTCCACTTGATGAACGGTCAATTCCATCTGAGCATTTCATAGCTCCTAAAATTTGAAAAAGTTGGTCTCCCTTTTCCAGCTGTCTGTCTTGTGTGCTCCATCATCTGCCATTCGTCATTAATATATCTTCTATTCACGATTTTATTGGACAGATAACCTTCAAAACTACTAAACCTACTGTGAAATTTTAGACGTATTTTAAGGATATTTTTAATTTGTCTGGTCATTCCCGCGATAAAATTAATGACATCATGTTATACTTTTTCAGAGTAAACCGTATTTAAAAAATCCAAAAGTTACACGGTTCTGTACCTGTATTTATTAATCCACTTCAACCACGTCCAATCGTCCATGTAGTTTTTTGGAATAAGTGAAAGTCCGTCATACTCAACATGGAATCTCTAAATTTAATTGAGGAAATGAAAAAAACGCTCAAAATCTATTGCATATTTAATCAGATGAAGTTATTGTTGAAACCTGTTTCGAGAAATCGCTGCTATGTTTGATTAGTTAATTAGTTTTCATTTAAATTTTTCAATATTCGACTAATGTCGAAACATGTTTTGACAATAACTTCACCCTCTGATCAAATATGGAACAAATTTTTAGTCTTTTTTCTACTCCTTTAATTAGATTTTTGGAAATTGAAAATTAGCACTGAGTTCTTCATGCTTTCCAAATGCCTTATGATGTCACCGCAAAATTTTGTTTCGCAACATGCTCCTTTGTGGTTTAACAACGTTATCTATATTTTTGATATCTATACGAGTTATCGTGAAAAAAATAAGAGTAAAATTTGGCGAGATACTAAAACTGATTTAATGATTAGAAAACAAAAAATAAATGTTTGTTAAAAATGTTCTTTGATATTTATATAGGCGTTACTATAAAAAATATGCAATTAAACTAAACTCGTTTAATTGATTGTGCTTGTTCATACCTTGAAATGTTGCCACCTCGTTGTAATACGCATAGCTATTGTCTTTGCCATTTCTATTGAAACACAACCTGTTGACTTTTGCTTAAAATTTAGCAATTGGTAACAGCTTTCGGCTGATTGACAACGGCTTTTAGTTAGAAAATTGTCTAAATATGAACGTTGCCAAATTTACGATTAACAAGTGGTGTTTCAATAGAAATGGCAAAGACTATACTGATTAATGTTCCTATTATAGGGACTTTGAATACTCATCGCCTGTCACAAATATCAATTTCCTAAGATTTTTCAATGTGTTTGTTAGATAGGCAACCAATATTTCACAAGGAAATGTGAATTGTAAATGGATGTACGGTGATCTTTCACAATCGGCTTGTATGTATAAATTAAAAATTACAGTGCTGAAAACACAATTAATATTGTCTCAATGGAGATAAATGATTCTTGTTAAGTAAAAGCTGTTTCCATGATGATTTTGTATAAATTAGAAAGACTGAACATTTTTCAACTGCAAAGTTTAGAGTGATAATGTGGTTTTCTTGCAAATTTGTCTTCAATGAATGTTTCTTTGCTGTGTGACAAAGACAACATCTAATATACAGGGTGGTAATTTTATCTGTTCGCGCCTGACAATTTTTGCATAGGCAACATATTATACACCCCAGAGACGACTATTTTTTTTTAAATAAGCAATCATAGCGATCACAGAAAAAAGATGACAAAGATGTCAATGCCAAATAATGACAAAATTGAAAAAATTAATACTCAATTTATTAATGGATCAGATTACAACGAAAAGGAATTTATAATAAATGTTCAAAATGCCTGCCTCCACTATCTTCACAAAGTCCTATCCTACGTTCAAAATTTCTACGAACTCTAACATGTCGGGAGTTATATGTAGATCTTCATGACGCTATTATCCTTTCACGTAAGTGGTTTTCATTTTCAATTGAGATACTATAAACGTCATTTTCCACCTTCCTCTAAAGAAAAAAATCTAATGGCGTTAGATCAGGGCTCCGTGCAGGCCAAGCGTACTCTTCTCTAGCAATTGGTCCAAACGTTCTGTGTAAATAGTTCCTAATCTCTCTCTGATAATGAGCGGGAGCGCCATCATTTTGAAACCAAATTATTCTTCGTATGTCTAGCTCTACGTTTTCTAACAGTTCGGGTAAAATATTCTTTAAAAAATTTAGATACATAGGTCCGTTTAAAGTTCCTTCAAAAAAATGTGGACTAATGAAATAGTTACCAACAATTCCACACCAAGCATTAACTTTGAAAACTTCTTTGAAATGCTTTTGCTGATACCAATGGGCATTTTGTTGGGCATAGTAATGTGAGTTGTGTCTGTTGGTAAATGTGGCTTCATCCGTATACAAAACGTTAAATAAAAAATCTTAATTGTCTCTTAATTGAGCCCTCACGAATTCGCAAAACACTAACCGTCGGATAAAATCGCGTTCTGTTAAATGTTTGACAATTGTCACAAGGTATGGATGAAATCGGTTTGCCTTTAAGATGTTGAAAACCGAACCCAAACTAATCTCCATTTGTCTTGCAATCTGTCTTTGACTCACGTGGGGATTTTCGGCTACAATTTCAGTTAGAGCAGCTTCATTATCCGGCGTTGCTACAGTTCGATTTCTAACTTTTTTTTTTAATTGCCCAAATTCTCGTAAATTTTTTTCAGGTTTTCTAAACGCTTGATTTGAGGGAGTTCTTCTATTGGGATATTGCCTGGAGTAGAGACAAACACCAGCATCAAACTTTTTGTCACACTTTCCCAATTAATAGTATGTCTGTTTTTTCAGAATTCGAAAACATTTTAAAGTAAACGAAAATTGAAAATAATTGGCTGACAGAAATAATTTGTCATAATTTTGGTTCTGATCATTGCTATCTATGCGTTCATTATTATTTAAAAATAAAAATTAATCAAAGTTGTTTATGAAACGTAAAATGGGTTGCCTATGCAGAAATATTCAGGCGTGAACAGATAAAATGAACACTCTGTATAATAAGTATATATATAACTTATTGTTTTTCGGAATATGTTAATAAACTCAGTTTTCGTTTCTTTTATTTGCTTATTTAATTGGCTCGCACTCAAAAATACCTACCTACATTGTTCTATATTTAGGGTCATCGGTAAACTTCACTCCACCTTGTGTCAAAAAATTATGAAAAACCAAGGAAAAACATTCAGTGGAATTCTAGAAGCGTCCATTGAAGTCGCTTATAAAAAGTGAAATGAGCCAGTTTTAGTGGGATGGAACTACTTGCAACACTACTCGGCTCTTACAAAGGAAATTCAGAACACGTTTTCTGTACTTACAGGGACTACTAATTAGCTTAATCGTTCCGTAAACTTAATATCGTCGTATTTCTTCTACCTACAGTTATTAAAAAGTAAGGCAAATCATCAAATCAATGTAAAACAGAGGCCCAGAGACCGTTTTTTGAACAACGGCACGATGCTAACAAGATATTTTATCACCTTTTGTAAATCAACTCCATGCCGATGAATTGGCGATAAGATATTTTTAACAAGATGGTGCCACAACCCATACAGCTGGACTCACAACTGCTTTATTACGAGAGTTTTTTGCAAATCGCCTCACTCAGTCAAAACACAGAACCTGTGGCCACCAAGGTCTTTGTATCTTACACCGAGAGATATTTTCCTATGGCTATATCTCAAAAACTCGATTTACCATAGCCTCATTGACAACCCAAACGAATGAAGGCGAAGGATTACTGCAAAAATGATGGAATTAACGCAAAATCCTTGCTACAAAATGTTATTTATGCAGTTAATAGACGACAAAGTCAGACGTACCTACTTAACATAAAAGAGACAACATATTCAACATTTATTTTAGCGTATAATAAATTGTCTCAAGTACCTATCACGTGTTTATTTGTTGGAACTAATCGAAAACATTTTTTGTTGTGAACATCACCGTCACAGAAAAAAGTGGCGCATCTTGAAACTCTACCTTTATTATGGTATTTTTGTGTTTTGTTATTTTATTTTACAGTCTTCAAACACATGCAGATTAAAAGTCAAGGAGGCATTTTTGATCACCCGATATAAGATCCTTAATTTTTACATACTAGTAATATCAATTCTATATTTGTTCTTAAAATACTTCCACCAAGGTAAGTCAAGAATTGTTCTATATGTTTTGTTGACTATTATTTTTCCACCGAAGGCAAAAATTCAACAGAAATACTGCATAATGTATTACATCCTATCTATTGGGGGTCATTAATTGTGCTGAAATGTAAAAGTTCTGTAATATTACACTCCTCTAGAGCAGAGTGAAATCAGAAGAATAAAACCAAGACCGACACAATAAATATAACAAAATTTTGTGATTCTGGTAAACCTAGCTCATAAAACACAGAAAAACATTGTGTCAATTTTTAAATTTAAAACGACTAAAATATTCTCCGTATAGACTATAGGTGTTTGAAGTTGACAATTCAAAATTGTTAGTTACAAATGGAAATTTGTGTTGTTTTCTCCTAAATTATTTCTTAATAAAATAAAAATCACTAAAAAACAAAAGAAAACAGAAACTGGTGTTTTTTCACTAAATGTGACACTTACTTTGACAATTATTTTACTTGCAATATGGTGCTTCGTAAAGAATTACTTGAAGAATTTCAGTGTCCAGTTTGTACCGAATATATATTTCCACCAATCAGTGAGTGCCTCCGTGGACATGCCTTTTGTACAAAGTGTTCTAAAAAATTATCCGAATGTCCAGAATGCCGCTCTCCAATTGCTTACGAAAAAAATTCTACACTGGAAAAATTACACGAAAAATTAGATTTTCCTTGTAAATATTATGACCAGGGCTGTTCTTTTGTCGGACAACCAGATAAATTAGAAATTCATCAAACAGACTGCTGTCACAACATCGACAAAACATCGAAATGGTCTGAAGGAAAAATACCTGAACTTCTTTCTTTTATTGTCTTTTCTACATGCTTGCTCTTGTTTGAATTGTACTTGATTTTATAAGCAGAACAGGGCTGGTAATGTAGGCAATAAGACTATAATATTTATAACATTTACTAAGAAAATATTAAAAATTACAGCAATAAATAAGAATTACGACGAAGATGAAATGTTTCAGTTCTTTAGTTTTGCATCGACAATGGGTAATCGACAATTACGTTACAGTAGGAAAATCGTCTGAATCGTCGCGATAGTATTCATAGTCAGGACGGAAATTAAAAACTCGTCTCTTCTCATTCGTGTGTCTTCTTAGCGAAAACAAGGGTTCGAAGACAAAATCGTCAGCAGCCACAGCTAAATCATCAAGACTGTCCCTCGAAGCAGGATAAGCAAATGCAGTTGCTAACAAAAACACCAGTAAGGTGACACAAATCTATAAAAAATTGTAATTAAAAAAAGCAACTATTTGAAAGCAAAAGCACTTACCAAAACAAATGACTTCTTCATGATTTTGTAAGAATAACAGGCACTGATCACTTATTCTTCGGTGTGGTTACCGTGCAACGATGTTGCTGAGACTGAACCACCTCAGTATTTATAGGCCTTTAAAGTACCCGAAGACATAAACAAATTTACCGCTTCCTTGAAGACGCAAATGATTTTGATTTACACCTACATGTAAGTGGTGATTTTTTGTTTGAAATGTTGATTTAATTAATTGGTGGATTGCACAAAATGTCATCATAGAATCAACAACCATCATCGATCAATTATGTGTCCCAAAATATTTAAAAAAAAACGTTGATTTTAAATAATATAATTAATTTGTCTTATTGATAGTAAGTACTAGTTGTCATCAATATTTATTAAACAAATCAGCGTACAATTATCGCTGAATCTCCGCTAAAAATATTCCCTTCTAGATTCACGAGTTTAACGGAATGTTGCAATATGATTCAGACTGTAATCAAGTTGAATTTATTCTATTGTTAGCGGGTCGATGTCAGTTGGCGCTGATATTACGCACATCTTATTAGACTTTGATTATTCCTATATAAATAAAAACCTATACGTACGCAAGCATAGTACTATTATAAATTATCGTTGATTCTATTTATAGAAAAATTACAATTTTCAAACAAATTTCTTTCGTGTTTTTGTTTCGTACATGCAAATTTTTCGCTAATAAATTGTAGATGTTCTAGTTTCATAACTATTGGTAAAAGTAAATTATGTTTAGGTACTGACTGGAAGATTTTTTACGTAGTACCTGAGGATCGAAGGGTGATTTTTTACACAAGCATATAGACTTTGATACAACCTAGTTGGAAAACCCATAAACCAGTATTTTATAAATAAATTATACGTCTACAATTTTTCCTTTTAATTTAAAAAATGTTCATTTGAAGTTAAGGGGTTGCGTATTATAAAGGCTGTAAATAATAACGAGCGTTCAAATAAAAACGACGTCAAGCTAGCTTTGGAAATTTGAACGTAGGGCTTAGTGAATAATTCGTTCACATTTCCAAAGCCAACTTGACGTCGTTTTTATTTGAACGCTCGTTATATTTCATTTGAAAAATTTCGGAGATATCAGTTTATATGAGTTCTACACATTTTCAGTAAAATTCGTTGAAGTTATACTTTTTTTTTTTAATGCGCCTTTATTATTTTCAAATTTGATCATGTTTTTTTAGCAATATTGCTAAACGTTACTGATTCTAACTATGTAACTTTTATTGTGTTAATGTTTTTTCGTACTTTATTACTTGAAATGACAAAGTAGCAATTGCAACCAGAAAATCATATATACTACGCAGAAATACAATTTGAAAACTATCTTTGATATTTCATACCGTTTTTTTTAAGTAAAACATAAATTATCTGTTTTGTGTAACATCATGGAAATAGTATCAGTTTAAATGAGGAAAAGACCGATGTGATTTCGATGTATGATTAGTGGTTCACGGCTGTGTAGAGAACATTATCCTTACAGAAGATGCCCTGATGACGATGAGATCTTGTTTTGAATTTGTTTGTTTTTGATTTTAACCTAACAATTGACGTTTATTTCCAAATTATCAAAACCAAACAGCTAACTAGGTATATATGTTTAACTTAAAACAAAAATGAAAGTAAATATCAAAGACTGCTATGAAATTGTACTGTTGGTTGCGTTTTGAATTTTTCAGGTGTGGAGCTTCTCGTGAATAACCCTGTATATAATTCGGTAATGATTGTTTTCGTCCAATAAAAAATATTTAAACACGTTCATCATTTCAATTTACGTATATATGGCGTCAGTTTAAAAAATTTTAACTCAAGGACAAGTACTGTAACAGCAGAAGAAATTAAAAAAATTTTTAAAATCAGCAGTACCTATTCATTCTATTATTTATTGCCAAAAACTAAAACAAAAATGCTGATAGATTCTAAAATACGGCACAAAAATCTAAGTTTAAGATAAAAAAAAATCACTACGAAATTTTAAATACCATGATAACAAAAATTTTGTAATAAGATGTACAGAAATGATGTTCCAAGTGCTTCAGAAAATCGATACATGTTTTAAATTTGTAACACAGCTGCGAAATCTTTTCTTGATGCATGTTCGCAAGTATAGGTTATAATTAAAAATTTCTATATTTAGCTGTTGCTTTTCAAGGTTTTTTATATTTCTGGTTCCATGTTTTTTTATAAAAATTTTTTTGTGAAAGTGGTAAAAGGTACCTATCCTTACAATAATTAGTGGTCGTGAAGACAGTAACACGCAAGCACTTTCCACCTTTATGTGATAAATGACACACTAATTCAATTCCTAAAAATTTAGTATTCAATTTATTACTCTATTTCGTTATGGAAAACTAAATTTTCCGTACCAGTTGTACAAGGATCGTACACATTGTTAGCGTGTTGTGTGATAATATTGATAATTACAACCATTATACGTTTCTCTAATAGATTGTATTTGAATTTCTAAGTTTAGCACAGTTATTTCATTCATAGAAAAAATATGTTGCAATATTCTGGTAATACTACATTTATAAAATTGTTAGAGAAATGATTAATTTCGATTATGATTAAATCAAATCTATTCACATCTTCTCATTTCTCTTTGCATACAATTTTACCTCAACGAAATGAATATTTATAGATCAAGACAATAGAAAAACATATTTTGACCCGTTGAAGTATACTGTCATTGTTAATTTACTAACATTGCACTTGCCGCAGCAATAATAAGACATGTGGCAACGCTGCACACAAAAAATATGATAAGTTTTACTGCGAAAAAACTAATAATAATAATAATAATTTAATCTTGTACTTCCAAGAAAAACTATTTTGTTGCATCGATTTAATTTAAAATCCACGTGTAGAATTAATAAATTGGAGTTACAAATATCCACTTTGCATTCCTCTTCAAAATGTTTATTTACCTGAAGTACTTATGACTGTCAACGTTTCCCATTGTTAACTGTGTGAACCTGGTTTTTGGTAACAATATATTCTGAACACTTAAGATAGGTTTTTAAAAGTTTTTTGTATTGTTTAATTACTAAATAATTGTCAAAAGTGATAGGTATGTTTTAAATAGATTGTGGTGACCAAATTTTAATTAAAATTTTGCGCTGAAACAAATTAACAACGGCGCGAAGTCGCATTTGAGTAATTTGAATTTGAAAAAAATTTCAAATTAAGGAAATCGTTAAACATGGGCAACCATGTGCAAGTTTAGGTCTTTTCTGGTAGTTGGTAGCTCTTTTAGGGAATTTCTGGGGAGTATCTAATAAGAGGGTTGGAAGAAATTAGCTTGCTTGGTAAATAGAAGGTGGAGATGCGTCACTGTTGTTTTGTTTTTGGTGAGCAAAAAAACACGGTAAGGAAGCTACTTAGATTAAGTTTAGTTGGTTTCGTATTTAAAAAGGGGGAGCTTTTATTTAACCATAATTAATCGTACCGATTGACGACGCTACAGTTTCCCCAATAAGCGTAACTAATTATTGCTGTTGTTCCAAGCGGAAATATGCGAATTTTCGACCGACGCCAACACGTGTGGTGTAAATTTGTTTTATTGTTTGTAAATTCACAGTTCATGTCAAGATTTTAGTCGTTAACTGGTTCTAACACAATTTAAGAGTATTGAGTTTGTTCAGATAAAGCAATTGCTGGAAGATTTCATGAAATTCACTTAGTCAGGACTCATCCTTTGTTTATCAAATTATAAATAAGGTTTCTGGATGCTTATACTTAAGTGTTACATTATAACACTTCTTAATTCCTCACACAAGATTATTAATAATTCATTTACGGCAGTTAAATTAATCTAACATCCCACTTTGGGAAAAGAGAGTGCGATACAATTTATAGTATCGTGGGGGATTAAAATTTTTCCCCTTAGGCAGTTATCATCATCACATCACCAAGACATTTTTCTCGCCACGTGGGAAATTATACCACCCAGACGCATATTTCTCGCAACGTGAGATGCATATTGTGTTTGTTTACCATGTGTTTATTTGGGACAAGCTGGGAACAGTCTACGATATAAACTCTCAAACAGAATTGCTTGAAGTAACTGGTCACTTGGATCAAGGCATAATTTAATATCATGTAACTTCTTTGTCTGAATCGTTGATAATATGGGACATAATTTAATATCATGTAAATTATTTGTTTGAATCGTTGATAAAGTGGGACATAATTTAACATCATGTAAATTCTTTGTTTGAATCGTTGATAAAGTGGAGAATAATTTAACAACATATAAGTTCTTTGATTGAATCGTTGATAAAGTGTGGCAAATATTAACCTCATGAAAATTTTCTTTAACTTACAATTTTAGCCTCAGTAATTTTCTTTGCTCTATAATTTAAATTGAACGTAAATTTTCATGCTCTGCAGTTTCTAACCTCACATAATTTTTTTGTCTGTACAAGTTTACTTCAAGCCAGATCTTTTTTTTTGTTTTTATCAATCTTTGCTAGTTTTTTTTCAAGCACATATTTTGTTGATGAATGCTTCCATCATATAAACTGTCTGATGTCCAATCTTAATCTCAGAAAAGAATTCTTTGCTGTTTAGAGAGTGTATGGCGAATTTAAATTTTGTTGATTGCTCTTTTGAAACTTTAACATTTGTTCGGTTGTAGTTTAATATTCGAGTTATAGAAAAAGAACATTTAAATGGGATTGGGGTAAATAACACAGAAACACGTGGCAGAAGCGAAGGGCGCGATTCCTAGTCGAGCTGGCAGGATTTGTCGCGCCATCTGCACAAAAGACGCGGATCTTGAATAGTAGTCAGAGGAGCGGTTTGACCCAATAGGCGGGATTTCCAACCACGAGTTTGCGACCGTAACGGCCTGTTCGCGCAGCACGTTTCTTCCTGATAGAGGGGTGTTGGGCAGCATGCTTGCCGATAGAGTAGAATCACCGTCGTGGTGGAAGAACAGCCACAACCAGGAGCCCCAAACTCCGCTTGAGTTACAACGCTATGCTCTAGAATGAAATTGATATAGTTCGATCGCCACACTCCTATAACGCTCTGGTGCCGCTGTCGCTGTGCATATTTTTATTAAAATTTTGTTCTCTTGTTAACCGCCATAATTTTAAATTTGCCACCGCATTTCCGTAATAACGTGTGTATTTGCATTCAGATACTTTACTTCATACTTTTCTTTGTTTTTATTAAATTTGTGATATTCAAATAGTCATTGATTCAGAACGTTTAATTTGATTTCATTCAAAGTTAGGCAAGTTTTTTTTGTGGCTGAGCACTAAGAGGTGTCTTCAACCAGCACAACTTAGTCGCAGCTTTTTTTTTCTTTTTTTGTTACTGGAGGAATAAATGATTTTATTCAATTTTGACATGTAAACAAACGTTTATTTTGCCGTCAGTAGGCCACTAAAGCTTTGGTTTATCCGGTAGCACCATAAAATGTTTAAACCGCTAGCGAAATAAAATTTTTATTTTGCTGTTTTAAAACCATGGTTACCATTTCTGTAATTTCTCCAGTGTCTTGCTGCTCTTTCCATCTAAAGAACTTTTGATACACTTTCTGATCTGGTGTTTTCTGGGACCAAGTTTTGTCGTTAGAATCTTGCATGATTTTGCAATTTTTCGATAATTTTAGTTTGTTTAAAATAAACAAACAACCGTCGCCAGAGTCACATACTACACACACACACCTGATATTGTACACTAAATTCTACACATATAAAACTTTTATTTGGTCGCTGTCAATTCTGACGTTTCTCGAGTCTGCTGAACTTTGAATCACCAATTTTTTCACAATTTGGGACTTGGGGTTGTCAAAATTGAATAAAATTTTGTATTACACTCGCGGTTAAAATGAATGTGTAACTCGCGGTCTTAAGGCGTTCGCGGCATACGCCGCTCTCGCCTTAAACTGACCGCTCATTAAACATTCACTTTAACCGCTTGTATAATAAATAACTATTGTGCCCTCCCGATTAACTCGATGATAATACATTCGCGAGTGATGTTGCGGCAAATTTAAACTATGGCAGTCGGAAAATCAGCAAACGAGCTACAGGGGACGTTAATACACACCACATCGGTATGTCCAAAAAACTTGCCGCATATTATACTCTCTACCCCGTCTTCGCAAAACAACCAGCTATTGGGCCAAGTTGCGCGTTCCACGCGAAAGCGGGTCACCCCATGAAGTTAAAAAATCCATTCGGGTAAATGACAAAAAAAAAACGCAATTAAGAATTCAAATCCGATCCTTTTCGAATTTATAACGATAACTGAATGAGTGACACATGTGAAATAAACACACGGTCCACAATATTATTAATTTGACTGATGAAAATTTTCAAGGCTCTTTCTTTCAGAATGGACCAACGCTTAAGATTAGTTAAAATACCATGTGAACTGTTATAAATCTTGAATGAAAAGTTTTGAAGTGTGGATCCAGATATTTTAGATACATCGTTAATTAAAATAAGCTGGGCCTGAATAACCGAATTTCCACTACGTGTTTTATATGAACATCTACACTGCAGTTACACTGTATTGATGAACAATTAAAAATTTCAAAATGAACTGGGAATTTACAAACAATAAAACGAGAATTATAGGTACCTGTTTATGGAATACTCATTGACAATTCACATTTAGAAAATCATTAATAAACTGTCATTTCACTAATTACATTCTTTCCCTTTTTATGAAATTATACACAATATTGTACATACCATCACAGTATATATACCACCTTCAACACGTGTTTACACTCACATCAAAACTACAAACAAATAACGCGCCAAAAACAGGAAGTGAATGACCTTTCAGAATTTTAACTGCACTATACTGCAAAAATTCCTGGCACCACCAACGTAAATGGTGGCCTTCTAGCATTCTCCCTAACGCTCTAATCCTGCATGGGTGATTGTCAACGTTATTAAACGTTTTTATTATTATTTTTTTAAATTCGGCTTGGTGACATTGTTTTTTTCCCTCTCAGCGTGAAATTTGAATTTCAAAATCAGAACACCACAAGCTCCAGGGTGGTTGTCGCTGATGATGAAGCCACCAAATGGTCATCCTGCAGGGGCAGTAAAGGCGAGTCTCGGAGCGTCCAGGCGGTCGGTCATCGTGACTGAAAATACGATAAAATTTTAAACTTGAGTGAGCCTTTAACGAGCGACACTGCATTACTTAATTAATTTTATATACTAAATTGGACCATCGACCAATACATCAAGCTACCTAATGGTAGAAATCTTTATCCCTAAGATATTTAATAAAGTAAACCTACCTAGATATTATGACCAGTTCAGCAATTAGAAACTCTGCAGCTTTCATTCGGCAACCATTTATTAGGTGAGTGAAGACTACTTGACCTCTTTTGTGCCGAATATCAAAGTGAAGGGAATTGTGGGGTACTATCGAACGTTCTTTGATTCTCAATTTTTACTTCAGTAGCGTAAACTAGAGTGTTGTGTATTCCGTAATCACAGGTATAAGACACAATAATAAGACGTCAGATTATTGTAGGTTTATTCACCACGTTTGTTCCACACGTGTGTATCGACATGGCGTCCATGACACCCTTGCATTGGCTATTGCTGGTTGCATATATAACACATCTCCCTCTTTAACTTACAACTACAAAATATTCCTCCTAACAATGAAATTTACCTAAACTAACTAAAATAATATTTACAGGTTGAAATCTTACATACTAACAATAAAATCATCTAGGATCTTTGGGGTTTTCCTAATTCTAGATGGTCTAATACATTCATGTGCTGCGGGAGGACACATTGGCTCGGTGGCTGGTAAAGGATGAGTGTCCTGACGTGTGTTGTTCATACCTGCTGGTACAGGATCCAGATTAGTGGAAGTGCTACGTACTGGGGCAGGGATGGGTAGTTGTGGTAACGTAGGATCGTAATTTATGGGCATTCCGATTTTCACATTGCAATGTCCTCTGTGCTGTTTAATGGCGGTGCTTTTACTCAATACTGATTCGCAACCCTCACTCCTTTTCTTTATTTGATTTGGGTGACGTTTCCACACCGTTCCAGATGCGAGCTGGCATAAATAAGTGGCGTTGCCAATTGTTTTTATTATTTTCGCATCAACCCATTTCCTCTCGGTTGTCCGATAGTCTCTGATTATGACTTTGTCGTTGATTTTAAAAGTTCGACTTGTAGTTGGTTCGCGGGGTATTTTTTTTGAGACATGGTCAGTACGAGTCATTAGATGAAACCTTGTACGTAATTCTCGACCAAACATAGCACTAGCTGGAGATATTTTGGTCGTCGTATGCGGTGTGTTTCTATAAACTAGCAGGAAACGGGAAAGTATCGTCTGGATGGTGGCATTTTTATTTTGTTCATCTGCCAATGCCGACTTCAGCTTGTTTTTTACTATTTTAACACCGTTTTCAGCAAGGCCGTTACTTTGAGGGTTGTATGGCGAGATTGTCATGTGTTTGATTCCGTTCCGGTAAAAGAAAATCTCCATTTCTTCGGAGACGAAGGAAGGTCCGTTATCGGAAACAACTGTTTCTGGCAGCCCAAATCGAGAGAAGCAGTCTCTCAGCATTTCTACAGTACTCTCGCTTGTAATGTTTTTCATACTGTAAATTTCTAACCATTTAGTGCAGCTGTCTACTATGATCAGGTATTGTCTTTGCAGGAACGTGAAAAAGTCCATGTGGACTATTTCGAACGGATTAGAAGATTCCGGCCAGGATACATAGGTTTTTGGGGGATGAGATGTGACAGACAGACAAGCTTTGCACGATTTGCATATCTGTTCAATTTCTTTGTCGACTCCAGGAAACCATAAGAACGATCTCGCCATAGCTTTCATTCGCACGATGCCTTCATGAGTAGAGTGTAGTTCTTTTTTTACTATTTCTCGCATTGTGGTTGGTATCACGATACGGTCTCCAAACAACAAACAGCCATTTACCACGTGGAGGTCTAATTTGCGATTATAAAATGGTCGATAATTTTCATCGATCTCGTTTGGCCATCCCGATCGAACAAATTCTATAACCTTAGTTAAGATAGCGTCATTTGCTGTTTCTTCTTTTACCATTGTATTGTCTATCGGAATATCTACATTAGAGAAATATATGCTATTGTATTCTACTTCGTCAACTGTAAATTGCTTGTCTAGTGGTAATCGCGACAAACAGTCTGCGACTGCGTTGTCACGTCCCTTTATATGTTCAATTTGGAAATCGAAGTTTGAAAAATACAGTGCGTAGCGCTTTATTCGATTAGCATATGTCTGATTTATTTCCTTTTGTTTCCCAAACAAGTAGACCAACGATTTTTGATCTGTTCGCAAAATAAATCTCTGTCCATATAAGTATTCTTGGAATTTGTTTATGGCGAAATAGCATGCTAAACTTTCTTTGTGTACTACTGAGTAGTTCTGCTCAGCTTTAGTGTAAGTTCTTGATACACATGTCACCATTTTTTCAGTGTTGTCTGTCATCTTGTGTGCAAGAACTGCTGCTATGCCACGTTCAGAAGCATCACATGTTACAATGATGGGTAGATTAGGATCGAAGTAAGTTAGAACCGTATCAGACGCAATCTTTTGCTTAATACTTCTGAACGCTGTATCACATTTATCTGTCCATTGATATTTAACATCCTTTTTTAGTAACTGATAGAGGGGTGCTAGAGTTTCTGTAATGTTGGGTATAAATTTGCTATAATAATTAACCATTCCAATAAACGATTTAAGTTCGGTAATATTATTTGGTGGTGGAGCAGATGTTATTGCTTCGATCTTATCTTTGCTTTTACTTAAACCGTTTTCTGATAAGTCGTATCCCAGATACGAGATTTTACTTTGGAGAAACTGACATTTATCCAGGTTTACCGTTAGGCCTGCGTTTTTTAATATGGTTAGGGCTCGTCTCAAAATATCTAGGTGGTTTTCGCCACGTTTATGTCCGATTAAGATGTCATCCTGGAAGGTGAATACATTGTCGATGCCTTGAAAAAGTTGGTCAATATGTTTTTGGAAGTAAAAGCTTGCACACTTAATCCCAAAGGGCATTCGGTTAACCATGTATAATCCTTTATGCGTGGATATAGTGACCAGCTTTTTTGACGCATCATCGAGTTCGAACTGCATATACGCGTCGCTTAGATCTATTTTGGAAAATTTGTAATTTCCTTTCAGATTAGCATAAATCTGATCTATGCGTGGTAATGGATAATACACATCTACTAGATTTTTGTTGAGATTTATATAGCTACCACATATGCGTACGGTGCCATTTTTTCGCAGAACCGGGACAATATGGGAACTCCATTCTGCTGTTACGGTTGGTGTAATGATTCCTCTTTGAATCATCCTCTCTAATTCGTACTCGACTTTGGATTTAAGGGCTAAGGGTACAGGTTTCGGAGAATGGTGCTTTGGGACGGCGTTAGGCTTTAACTTCAAAGAAATCTTACCGTGTTTAAAACATCCGAGAGCTGAAGTACACACATCAGGAAACTCCCCCCTTAACGTAGTCTTCACGTCCACCACCGAGTCAATGGCGTTTATTCCTGCTGGAGTGAAAATAATGTTAAAATTATTGATGAAATCCCTGCCTAACAATCCTGTCATAGCATTTTCAATTACAAATAGTTTTAACTCACTTGCCATATCTCCATATTCTACTATAACATTTATGAATCCTAATGGTACAATTGATTCACCTGTGTAACCTTTAAACGACATTACTGTTGGATGAATTTGGTAAGTGTTCAAATTATTTACATAAAACTTGTTGCTTATTGCAGATATGCCGGAACCTGAATCTAACTGCATGCAATATTTTTTGCCATCTATTAACACAGAGAGTTCGATTGGCTTAAGAGTGTTGTTAATGTTATATATAGAGTTTAGATAATGTCCTTCGTCATATATACTAACCTCGCTTCCGCTTCCTTGTTCACTTTGTAGGGTCTCCATTGCGTTGATCTGCCTTGCCCTGCAGACACTCTGTAAGTGTCCCTTTTTGCCACATGCATTGCAGGTATAATTCTGGAACTTGCACGTTCCAGCATGTGTTTTGCCACAGCACTTACATTTCACGGTGGTTCTGCTTTGGTTCTTCACTCTTCCCATGTCATAACTTTCTTTATATTCTTCATTTGCATCTGGTTTTCTGGGTTTGTGTTGGTTTCTTCCCCGGAAGTTGCCTAGTTTACGGTGACCACTGTATACTGCCTGAATTCTGTCCTCGCTTCCTTTACCAGTGGTGTATGCTAACGCCAACTCCTTGCTGTTGGCAATTTCGATTAACTTCTCGAGACTTTGACTGACTGGTTCTTCCACTAGTCGGTCCATCACGGGTCCCTCTCGCATTCCCGACACGAACCGATCAACCAGTGTCTCTTGGAGGTGCTCAAATTTACAGTTGACCGCGAGATTTTTTAATCTTGCATACCACTCATTAGAACTTTCTTCGGCGGTTTGGTGGGCTCGGAAGAACTGAATTCGTTCCCTAAACACGTTTACTTTTGGACTGAAATGCTTTTGGAGCTCCTTTTTCAGCTCTTCTAAAGACTTGTCCTTGGGTGGAATTGGAAATGATAAATCGCGAAGTATCTTGTATACATCCGTTTCCATCTGACTTAGCAACAGGGCAACTTTGCATTTTTCGTCCACGATTTTGTTCACGAGGCAGAACTGTTCGAACCTTTCTTCGAAAATCGTGAAGTCACTGTCCGGTGTGAATGTAGGGATAATGCCGATGTAACTAGCCATGCTTGAAAGTGCTTTTCAGAACGGTTAGACTTTCTCACCTTTTCCTCCCGTTCTTGCGTTGAAAGTTACTCCCTTGTATTCATAATTTGCTCGTCGCCATACGTTGTGTATTCCGTAATCACAGGTATAAGACACAATAATAAGACGTCAGATTATTGTAGGTTTATTCACCACGTTTGTTCCACACGTGTGTATCGACATGGCGTCCATGACACCCTTGCATTGGCTATTGCTGGTTGCATATATAACATAGAGAAGTATTGTAATTTGACGAATGGTTAATTTCATGTTTTCTCCACGTTTTATGATTTTTACGAAAACCCCGGGCTACTGATTCCGGCTGTTTGTTGGCAATTTTATGAAACATATGATCTCTGAAATTGCTCTGAATATGCGTCTACGGGTGATTTATCAATGCACACACGAAATTTTGTCTGTCCACCCCCCCACAAAATTTTAATGACGTCACCTCAACAGTTTGCTAAGTAATTCCTATTTAAAAATTTCCGTGTAAATCTTTACACAATATCAAGGCCCACCGCGGATTGACCATCAAGTTCGCGGCGCAGTAAATATTCCTACTGACCGATCGTCATCATCTGCGCAGGCGGACCAAATTTAAAACATTATTACGAAAACAAAGAAAATTATTCCCCTATAAGAAAATTCTTCTGTCTATCATCGCATAGTTAAACTTACAACTCAACTTTGCAATATTTAAAAAAAAGTAGAAATACGAATTTAAGTGAGCCATAAAAATGACTTATTTAAAATTAAATTTTCTAAAATCGTAACAAGAAATTATCCGGTAACCATGCAAGTATTCTCTTTGTGGTCGTTTCAGTGTGCACTCCGAACCTCGGAAAAGTCCTTGAGAACTTTTTGTTTTTCGCCTTCCGTAACTTTTCAACCGATAAATTAATTACTTTACTTCACTTTTAACGGTTTATTTGCACACAAATTGTTTTGTCATCACGAAAATACTTTGAGAAACCTTGGATTTCATCCGAGTAGCTCAGATTTGATATGAGGAAAAATTCAGTCACTGAAATGGAAAAAAGTTATAGGACAACTTCAGAAACTTTATATTGTATTTTTTAAAAATTTGAATACAAATGGTTGCATAAAAAACAATAAGTATGTAAACCATATGCGCATAATATTCACCACTCGTCTAGACTGGTGCTGAATGTACAACGTAATAAATTCTTTTCTACACTTACTGCATTATTTAAGTTTCCTAATTAATATGTGAAAATCTTCCTCAACTACAAAAAATGCGTTTCGAAATTCTCCACGCTAAAACTAGTGAATTATTGCTTCCTATTATTATTAATAAACCCAAACTTTTTGAGTTTTTTAAAAATAAGACATTTTTTCAGTCCACTCCTGGAGTGGTTAACAAGGGCGGGTAGGTACACCCACCATTATTTATAACTTTCGATTTTTACGAATGTTAATTACCGGCTTTAAGACCAAAATTTTACAAGTGCTGTATAACACTACGAAATGAAAAAAAAAAACTTCAAGCTTGCAACTGATTATAAAATTAGGTATACAGGGTGGTGCCTCCATTTTTTTTTTCGTCACGGCAATTCAAAAATCTAAATGTTTTCACTGTTGATCCGTTTTCGAACTACAAAAAAGTGAATTTTTTGTGCGGTGTACGTACCAACTACGAAGTTTGATTTCAGAAAACAAATATTTACTGACGCGACGACACTTATCCTGAAAAAAACAGCATACTGCTGCATTACTCTAATTGCCTGCCAATTGAATGGCGTATTTACAGTGTACAAATGAAAGTTTTTCACACATTTTAAAATATTTATTCCACACAATCCAATTAACAAAACGTCAAACAAAAATAATTTAAAAACTGTAATTTTGTCATTCTCACTTTCAGTTAAACCACCAACATTCAACACTAATAAAAAAAACAACAGGTTAACTGCATTTTATTTTTAATTTCCTGATAATTGCGGAGAAAAAATATATATTATGTAACAAATCCTTACTATGCAATAATTGGTATTATACACTGAATAATTTAATGAGAATAACTGTGTCTCAATTAAAAAAAGGGGAGGAGACAACCCTGCGTGAGGGTCCCGGAAATTAGATTTCACCAGGGACAGGAAGCAATCTCTTATTTATTACATTCGATATTTTTACACATTATATTTATGTATAAAAAGTTTTACATGGTTTAAATAGTACAGTCATAAACTGCAAACAAACAAGAAGTGTCCACATTTGTGTGAAATAAATTACGTTATATTCTTATTCTATTCCGAAATTTTGCCAAAAACAGTTTCCCTTTTCTATGAATCGCCTGAAGTTCGTGTCTTAAGTGTTGGGGAATTGCTCTAATGTTACTGAGCAAACAAAACTGCCACTTGTTTCTATAAAATAACGATCGGGTGTTAAAATGTGATCGCTCTGTTTGCTCTTTGGTCAACTTCAGTGTAAACTAAACGAGATGCGACTGAATAGGTTCTTACCTTTAAATTTAGCCGAATAGTACTAGACATCTGAGATCTAGAATATTAAAAACTTTTAAACATGTATAGAATGTAGAGAATTGCAAAAAAATCTTTTATTACAATACACCTAGTTGAACCACAAAACCTACATATTAATTTATCTAACAATTATATTAGTATATGAGTGTCATCCATACGTTGGATAGAAAATCCGGGACCCGACGTTGTTCAAGTATTAAAAATGCCTGCCGAATGTTTCTAACAAACAAACAAGCAACACGCACTTTCACTACTCCTGCAAGGAAGTCGGGTGCAAGTGGGAAAGAAAAACGCAACCCAACACTTGACTTCTTACAACCACAATATATTAAAATAAAATAATTTCAAATTTAATGTAGATTATAAATGATTTTAACACTTTAAAACCCCAATCGATACTGTGGTAGTAAGTGATGGAGGGAGCACAGTCCAAAGCAAAATGTACAAGTTGACAGAAATGAACGCTGGCTCATCCCCTCCGAGTGTTGCAATTAAATAAGTTGTTTTTATCTAAAGTGTGAAGTGTGGGGTTTGGGGGCCGGGGCATCACATAGCATATTTGCGAGTCCACTCGCGCGCTAGCTCGTTGTACTTTTCCCGGTCGGTTTTATATATCCTAGCAATTTCTGGTACTAATGGATCATCTGGATTGGGGTCACACAAAAGTGAGCAGATTGATAAGAGTACTGGAACAAAACAAAAGTTAGTCAGTCAATGTCAACAGCCCCAAACCAATCAATACCTAATGCTATTCATTATTTACTTAACGTTAATCAATAACGCGTACCCTTTCATTAATAATCTGACTACACGCGTTCTTTACTCATCTATTAGAACTGAAACTGAATTATTTATTAAATCAAAATGTTTTTCTACTTAGAATGCGTCGTCTACAGGTCTGTCATAAAATTACTTTTTTTTTCATTCGTGATATCGTTACCACAAAGGTTAACTTTTATAATTATAGTAGCAATCAAATGTGTTATTTTTATAAATATAGGTGTACTGTCGCTTAACTAACGCAGTTATATCGTACTCGGTCAATTCAATCATTTATTGGCGTTTTGTGGAAGAACCAAGAGTGCTATGCCATTTCAAAGATAAAATTCACGATACACTTGAGTACTAAAAATTTTTGTAACTGTTGAAACTTATCACTTAAAATTTGAATGTCGTGTAACACACATTGCGCTATCAAACCTATTCAAAAATAAAAATGTGTCATTGCCAAGAATTAAACGTGACATTCATTGCATAGTGAACAGTCAAATCTCAGCACTTCGCTTGACAGAACCATCAGTTTAGAAAGTGAGAACTTTCCTTTTCATATTAATGGTCTTGTTATTTTATTGTTTCTATAACAACCGGCGTTCGATCGGTCAATTCATCTACAAGTAATAATAAACAATACCAGTACACAGCCAATAATAAGTACGTGACATTAAGCAATTGAAAATGGACAATTGCTTGTTTTATTATAATTTACAAATTTCCTAATTTTTCTCGTTTTATAAATTATTCTTTTTGAAGTTAGTATTTTCTCAATATTTAATAATTAGTAAAATAGTACCGAATTTGTATTCGTCAAATAGTTACGAAAAAAAAAAGGAGAGAAACTATTTTTGGAGAAGTTTAAAGTACACTGCAATCAATTTTCACCTCCAAGCTTCTAAAATTATAATTTACAACTGATATATTTGTCTTAAAACTTTGAATAATACCAACGACGTATTCGCTATACCAGTTTTATATTCTTTAATCTGGGCCTATCAGTTTCACAATCCTCGCAAAACAAGGCAGGCTTTGAATATTTAATTTTATTGACTAGAAAGGAACTATCGCTCTAGTTATTAAATATTAGTTGAGTCTTTTTAGACCAAAGAGCGCTATAAAAAAATTTATCTGTACTCACATTAAGCCTACACACATCGTAATAGACAAGTTTCTAACAATAATAAATCATCAATATCAATAAAAGCCATGAATTAAAAATAATTCCTTTTCGAATTTTAATTAATTTGCCATTATTGTTCAAAAATACGACCATTAAACCGTATTGTCTTTTTAAATGGACTTCAAAGTAATGGAGATTCCAAGTACATTTTATTTTTTATTCTGGAACATCGATCAAAAACTGAGAAATTCGTATATTAAAAAACAGCAATATTTTGAAAATACTCTTCATTAAATAAAGCGTAAATTGGAAAAACATTTTAATACTCAAACTATTTCCAACAGAAACGTATTATGAAGCAGCTGGCAACTGACGCATGATGTTTAAAAATATGATGAATTAGTCCAGCCTGAAAGGTAGTAGTCCCAATATGTGAGAACATTAAAGCTGAAAATTCCAATAAATTTTTGAAAAATTATTTTAATTTAATTAAAATTGCAGTTTTCGTTTGATCAGTAAATGATAAAACATGTACTCTTCTACACATCCAAAGAATTGTTTTTCTTTTTTTTTTTAAATTTAAAATTATAATTATTTTACACGAAATAAATTTGTTGTACAACACTCGTTCGCCACTTTTTTATAACAAAATCGGCAAATATCTAATTAAAAAAGATTCGCTGTGTATTTCATTCCCTACCATGGTTGTAATGAGAAATTAATGGTAATCAAAATCAGCTCAATTTTCATATGAATCAATAACTGTAGTCAGTCAGTTTTTTAACAATAAATGTACATGATTTTAATAAATTGTACCACGTTATGACAACAAAAGTAAAAAGTTAAAGATACTGTTTATACTAATGTATTAGTGTTTTTGTTGTAATAAAATACTAATTACAAATTTAGTGCTTTGTAATTAATTTGCACACACCCAAAACTAATGTAAAATATAATCACGAACTTTTAAAATTTCTAAAACTTGTCACAATGAAATTTCAATGTAATAAAAATTAAAAAAAAAAAAAAAATGTTTGAATACTAAATATGTTTCAGTTTACACAAGAAGGCAGAAGGTCTTATGTCTTATGTTTATATCATGCACAGACTGTTCCATACTCAACCCTAAAATGTTTATTATATTTCAACAAAACGATTCAAATTTTCGCATTAATTTTACAAATAATTTTTTAATCATTAATCTATGGAGTATTTATTTTGATATGAAATTAAAAAAAAAACACGCAGACAAACTGCAAACTTTTGTAAAAACGTTTAACTATATATATATATGTAATTCATAAGCAAGAATTTTATTAAATATAATTAATATTAAACATTTTTTATAAATGATTATTCAGGTCAATATCACAACTATTTTTCAAATAATTGATCTACCATTACAGGAAGCTAAAAATTGTTATAACATAGAATTAAACAAGAGAAAAATTGCGATATCCTCTGCTACAATCTTAAAAATTGTCACTGTAACAAGAGTTTCAACAAACAAGCAACACATGGCAGCTTAAGCTTGGATAACACGTCAACATGCCAAAACATGTTGTGCAAAGTAGCAGATACAAACAATTTTGTCACAACTTAAATTTTAAAAATGATACAAAATTTATATTGAGTCTTATAAACACAGCTGTTGTTAAAAAATAAGATCATTGTTAATCAAATTAGACTTCACTTTTTATTTAAACATGAATGACCTAATATTTTATTAATTTTAAAACACTCCATATCATGGTAACTTCATTTTAAAAAATATACGTAAACCACAGGATTTATGACGTTTGGAAAACAAAACTGTATATACATAAAAATATACAGCAGCATGGAAACACTACAGAACTTTGGAACAAAGTTTAAAATTCTAGTTCATTTAATCATAACTACTTATAAAATTGAATTATAGTACATAGTAAAATCTTGAAATTTGGTTGAAGATAAATCAGATAATTCAAAATTGATAATGTAACATTAACAGAATGATTATGATTAATCATATGGGAATTCACAATTTACTACTATTGGAGTATGTTGGAAAAACCCATTATGACAGTAATTAAAATAGCACAGATGAATGAAGAAACACTTAAACACTCAAACATACCTTTTGAAATCGTAAGTGCTGGTGACCACTGCGAACGTAGTATATCAAGACAAATGCTACCATTACTGTTTATGTTTGGATGATAGATTCTTGTAGTAAACGCGACTTTTGGTGGTTTGAACGGGTAGTCTGTTGGAAAATGAATTGTTAAAAAGAATACTCCTCCTTGGTATGGACTATCAGGCTGCAAAAAAAAAATTAAACTGTAAAAGATTTCCACAAAATACTTACACCACAGAAGCACAACTTAAAAGTAATTAAGATTCAAAAACGCGTTTTTGAAAATCAATACAAGTAACAGTGTTTGCATAAGGTTATTGAATAAATAAATAAGTCTATTAATAGCCTGCTCATTACAGTTATGTGTTCTAAATTACTGTAAAAGTGAAAAAAAAGGAGAAAAAACTTACTGGTCCCATAATTGTGGCCTGCCAGTGAAATACTGCAATAAAGAAGATGCATATCATTTAAAAGTTGACATATGTTGGAAAATTCGTTGAACTTACAATCATCTCCAACAGGTCCTGCTGAACATTGTGCGGGAGGATCTCTGCCGAGGTCTTGTAATTCCTAAAATGATAAAAAAGAGGTGAAAGAACGCTTGAACAGGTATCAAGTTAATAATAGCCACCTGAAAGTCAGGGGCCTAATATGGTGAGGTTAGAAGCATGAAACATCAAGCCAAGGTCTTAAAATTAGCCGCATTGTTATGAAGGTATATTTTTTGGCAAAAATCACGCAAAATCAAAACGAAAACGGGTCTCCACCGGGATTGACACTGGTTACGTTATATCCGGCATTTTTTGTGCCATTTGATAAGGTGAAGCAGGAAAATGAAACATTGTCACTATCTGCGAAATCCCGACCACGGCCCTCCGAAATGGAATCACCTACAGCCACCTCGTGTACAAAGACGGATTATAACAAGATTAAACGGTATTCCAATGCGGTTCACACACTCTGATCACAAAATCGTTAAGGGCGTTTAACTGCCACAAAAACGACTTAAACACGGCTTTCTGCCAACACATACGGACATCACTTTCACTTTAAACTTTAACGTACCTTATTAATTCGTTTTAAAGCCATTTGACGGAGTGTATGTGTAATAAATACTGGCTTTTCACCAGACAATGAAACCTCGAGCCAAGGACCTCTGATAGGAGATTGCAAAGATGGCCTCCTTCAAAACTCACAGACACGACGTGGGTCAAAAGCGGACTTCGGGTTTCTTTTTGGACGTTGAAACTCCACAAGGTACACAGGAATTGGCTCAACTAATTACTTCAACAAATGTGGTGTGTACAGTCACTTTGTCTTTTTACAAAGACGAAAGGATAAGCTTTATGTTCCAGAAAAGATGACTGATCACTTCCGTGGCGACTTGCTCATGTCGGTAAAACAGGCAACGAGTCTTTAAGCCAACTACTCGGTCATGCACCGACTGCGCACTGAGTATTCAACTAAGTGACGAAAGAGGACGCTATTTTAAATTGTCAATTTCAGTTGTCACTTGTCAGCGAGTTAGCTATGTCAAAAGTCAATAGTCGCTTATCATTCGTTTATTTGCAAATCGTGTTTATTTAAAAATGTAAGACGTAATTGATAATTACAGATAAAAAGTACTACGCGGTGGTTCATTCATTACTAAAATGGATAATAATTGCAATATCACTCCTCTGTTTGGTATTTTTTTTATTCCCCAACCTCCAAAGCTCAGGAAAATACGTCGATAGACCGGGCAATTTTGATGAATGTTTTATCTCACTTTTTTTTTTAAGAATTGTGTTGGACGTAGATAATGTTCACAAGTTATTATTCTGAAATTTTTTAAGTGTTTAGACCATAAAAGTCACTTCGACTGTGTACAATGAAATTTTACGGTTTATTTCCAACCTACAGAACACATTTGTTGAATTTTTGATAAGACACTATCTTTGAATATCGCGGAACTAAAGTCCGATTATTCATCCGCTTCAAAAAATTCATGACCTCATCTCACGGAGAGGTGTGGTAATTCTTAGTATGCTTAAACCGTGTGATCAGAAATGACTGGTTTATTGTCAGTATTTTTTAAATAAAAATAGGAACTTTTCTTGCGTTTATGTTGGTATAACAGAAGTAATTATTTCTGTGACAGATATATCAATCGTTACATGCGATAAATTTAGGTTATGTTTTGGATATATTTTGCAAATTTAAAAATATCAACAATCTAATCTGTTAATCTTGACAGCTGACAACGGGAAATTATTGAAAACATGATATCAATTTAAGCTAAAAATCCAGGATTGCCAACAGACTCAACAATTCTAATCACGCGGTAGATACCGGGTGATTGTTAATGATTAATGCGTTTGTTGGCAATTCTGAATTAATTCATTTTGACAATCAGGTCTGTCATCGTAAAATGTTAATACCTATGTTACCAACCTGACAAAAATAATCACAATCATTAGTGGTCACTCGATATTTTTTACATTAATGTTTTAAACATCTCATGTTTACTATTTATGTCAGTAAACGTTTCGTTTAATTTTTTTTTGATATTATGCAAAAACAATAACATTATAATCAGTACAGTACATCTGAAAAGTAATAGTTTTATGGTAATTAGAAAGGTAATGACTGAGCTCAAAAAATTGGTCGAAAGTTATTTCGACAGATCTTCCCTCGCGTCTAAAGCAGACTCCAACAAATACAGGTCTCAAAAGTGATAAAATTTGATTTTGTGGAATTTTACTTTTCCGTGATAACCTCTCTGGAGTTAAAACAATATAAAAGGTACTAGTCTTTGGGACGAAAAGGTTTTACAATTTAAAAAAAGACAGGTGGGACCATCCAGAAGGTTTCGCATTCTAAAAAAAAAAACATTTGGCGCCCTTGAGAAGGTTTTACATTTTTAAAAAAGACAGTTGGGACCCCCGGGAAAGTTTCACATTAAAAAAACATTTGACACACCCGTGAAGGTTTTACATTTTTAAAAAAGACAATTGGAACCTCCTAGAAGGTTTCACTTTCTTAAAAGAAAACATTTGGGGCCCCCGAGAAGGTTTTACATTAAAAAAAAGACAGTTGGGGCCCAAAAGAACGTTTCACATAAAAAAAAACATTTGGGGCCTCCGAGAAGGTTTTAAATGTATAAAAAAGACAATTGGGATCCCCGAGTAGCTTTCGCACTCTAAAAAAAATACATTTGGGGCCCCCGAGAAGGTTTTACATTAAAAAAAAGACAATGCAGACACCCGAGAAGGTTTCACATTCTTAAAAAAATACATTTGGAGCCCCCGAGAAAGTTTTACATTTTTAAAAAAGACAGTTAGGACCCCTAAGAAGGTTTCACAAAAAAAAAAACCATTTGCCGCACCCGAGACGGTTACATTTTTCAAAAAGACAGCTGGAACCCCTGAGAATGTTTCACATTTTTAAAAAAATACATTTGGGGACCTGAGGAGGTCTTACATTAAAAAAAACAGTTAAGAGCCCCCGACAGGTTTCACATAAAAAAGTGGCGGCCTCGAGAAGGTTTTACATTTTTAAAAAAGACAATTGGAACCTCCTAGAAGGTTTCACTTTCTTAAAAGAAAACATTTGGGGCCCCCGATAAGGTTTTACATTTTAAAAAAAGACAGTTGGGACCCAAAAGAACGTTTCACATTAAAAAAAAACATTTGGCGCCTCCGAGAAGATTTTACATGTTTAAAAAAGACAATTGGGACACCGAATAGGTTTCGCACTCTAAAAAAAAATACATTTGGGGCCCCCAAGAAGGTTTTACATTAAAAAAAAGACAATTCAGACACCCGAGAAGGTTTCACATTCTTAAAAAAATACATTTGGAGCCCCCGAGAAAGTTTTACATTTTTAAAAAAGACAGTTAGGATCCCTGAGAAGTTTTTACATTAAAAAAAAACATTTGGCGCACCCGAGAAGGTTACATTTTTAAAAAAGACAGCTGGAACCCCTGAGAATGTTTCACATTTAAAAAAAAAATACATTTGGGGACCTGAGGAGGTCTTACATTAAAAAAAAACAGTTAAGAGCCCCAGACAGGTTTCAGATAAAAAAAATGGCGGCCCCGAGAAGGTTTTACATTTTTAAAAAAGACAGTTGGGACCCCCGGGAAAGTTTCACATTAAAAAGCCATTTGGCACACCCGTGAAGGTTTTAAATTTTTTAAAAAGACAACTGGGACCCCCGAGAAGGTTTCACATATTTAAAAAATACATTTGGGGCCCCCGAAAAGATTTTACAATTTTAAAAAAGACAGTTGGGACCCTTGAGAAGGTTTCACATTAAAAAAAAATGGCGGCCCCGAGAAGGTTTTACATTTTTAAAAAAGACAATTGGAACCTCCTAGAAGGTTTCACTTTCTTAAAAAAAAACATTTGGGACCCCCAAGAAGGTTTTACATTTTAAAAAAAGACAGTTGGGACCCAAAAGAACGTTTCACATAAAAAAAACATTTGGCGCCTCCGAGAAGGTTTTACATGTTTAAAAAAGACAATTGGGACCCCCGACTAGGTTTCGCACTCTAAAAAAATACATTTGGGGCCCCCGAGAAGGTTTTACATTAAAAAAAAGACAGTTCAGACACCCGAGAAGGTTTCACATTCTTAAAAAAATACATTTGGAGTCCCCGAGAAAGTTTTACATTTTTAAAAAGGACAGTTAGGACCCCTGAGAAGGTTTCACATTAAAAAAACATTTGCCGCACCCGAGAAGGTTACATTTTTAAAAAAAGCAGCTGGAACCCCTGAGAATGTTTCACATTAAAAAAAAAATACATTTGGGGACCTGAGGAGGTCTTACACTAAAAAAAAACAGTTAAGAGCCCCCGACAGGTTTCACATAAAAAAAATGGCGGCCCCTGAAGGTTTTACATTTTTACAAAAGGCAATTGGAATCTCCTAGAAGGTTTCACTTTCTTAAAAGAAAACATTTGGGGCCCCCGAGAAGGTTTTACATTTTTAAAAAAGACAGTTGGGACCGTTGAGAAGGTTTCACTTTCTTGAAACAAACATTTGGGGTCTCCGAGAAGGTTTTAAATTTTTAAAAAAGACAATTGTGACCCCAGAGAAGGTTCCACATAAAAAAAAAACAATTGGGACCCCCTAAAAGGTTTCACATTTAAAAAAAAAACCATTTGGCGCCACCGAGAAGGTTTTACATTTTTAAAAAAGACAACTGAGACCCCAGAAGGTTTCACATTCTTAGAAAAATACATTTGGCGCCCCCGAGAAGATGTTACATTTTTAAATAAAGAGAGGCGTATTCTCATCTTTTTGAGAAAGTGGGGTAATTTCATTAACAGAAAAAATTGTTATGACGTCATAAACATAAATAATACACAATGCGAGAGAAAAAAAGTTAAAGGTCAAGTTTGGAATCGAACGCGCGACGTCCTGTTCGCATTCCTGACTCGTAACCACTGGGATTCTTTACGCTAATGGTAAACTGTTATTATACCGTGCATTAATTTGAACGCTTAGGGAAAAAATCAAAGCCGATTCGTACACCACACTTATAGGACTATATTGTTGTATAACAGTTAATTCAAATAAACATACAATCTACATATTTCTAATATACATATGTACAAAATTTGACAACAATTGGTTAAGCAGTTTCGGAGTTTACATGCCTAATAAAAATGGATAGAGACACCAGACAGACAGATAGATGGAACGGGAGACTACTTTTTTCGTGCTCTTGAAACGTCGAGAAAATATAAAAGTGGCCATTCGTCCGATGGACTCGATTACTCCTATACTTCCTTATTAGCTTACGCTCGGAAAGTAAAAATGTAAATAAATCGTTCTTGATAAATATGCTTATTTGATTTGCAATGAAATGGTTTTTTTTGTTTAGAATTACTTTAATAAAAAATTGAAAACCAAAATTAATGCATTAAACATAATTAACAAAAGAATGTTTTTAATTTGACAGCAGGAGTACATCAAATTCCTTAAATTGTATGTATCAATATTTAAACGGAGAATAAGTAAAATAATAAAAGCGTCTCACCATTTTAATTTTGGAATAAAAACAAACATAGCCATACCAACATAAAAAATCTAGAGGAACTAAAATTTCTACCTCAATGATCGAATGCGTATTTGCGTAATTAAATGCAGTATGTCCAGATACCAGTTTCATATTTTTTATTTTCTTGAAAAACAGTAGAATTTAATATTCAGTTTTGTCCAATTAAGTTACGTAAACTGAATAAAACCATTACTGGTTTTGTTTATAATTTTTCAAGTGAGGTAGGTCCACGTGTATACTTATTGTGGCTAAATATGCACATTTTTTGAACACCGGTTCCAGGTGAAACTTTTTGATCGACGCATGTGATGTAATTCTATAGAAAATCGTGCAAAGTTGTCAGGAATAATATTATCCATAGTATTTTATGGTTGAAAAATGTTTCTCTTAAAAGTACGACCTTGCAATTTCACTTTTACAACAAATTACTTAGTAGACTGATAATTCAAGACAAACATATATACAAAATAACAACTCCCTACCACATGTCTGCTAGTCTTAGTAATATTTTATTAAGATAAAGCATTCTAAATTTAACTAAGCTGTCATTTATAGTACCTAGTAAATATTGACGAAACTTTTAATTATTTATCACTAAAAGATATTACTAGAAAGATTTGACGTCCACTCCTTTCGACTCACGACAGTAATGCGACATAATTATTCTTTACAATAGACACAGGTAGTACACAGGATGTGACACGGAATTTATTTGAACGAATTTGATCCTTACCGCCCTTACCGACAAGGGTGGACCTCAATTCTCACCGGATGGCGCGTATTTCAAATTAATCAAAGATTTTTCATTAATGCAAGGTACCCGTCACGTTCATTAAATTTATCACAAGCAATAGTTTTTCACCATGTCGAGCATAACGGTTTTATCCATGTTTCATCTTTGCACCTATATTTAGTACTTTTAGTAAATTTTATATGGTGTAATCAAGCGTACCAACATAAAGTGAAGATTTTCGTCTATTTTCAAACGATTTTGAAATCTCTTTAGCCTAAATAGTGATTTTCGTATATTCGCTCTCACTGATTATTTCTATTTTCTGAAGCGTATATTTTCTTTGTAATCAGTAAATTCCTATAAAATTATAGTGTTTTTTTTTTGTCTCTGTATGTTAATAACTATATAACACTAACAAAAATAATTTGAAATGTTTTGCATTTTCTACTAAATTGGAATTCTAGAAATCCTGTAGAATCTGAAATTCTTAAAATCCCTCCACAACAGTATTAAATTCTTAAAAGAATTTTCGAACGTAAGTATACTTTTTTTCTAGCATTTTACGCAATCTAAGAAATTTCGACAATTTCTGCAAAAAAAAAGAAAAACAAAATAATATAGATTTGGATGGATTATAATTCAAAGACCAACATTGCCACAGAAGTGCAATTTTGAATTGGATACATCAAATATAACATATGTTTTAACGTTTTGAAACAGATTCGTTTACACAAGGTGTTAAAAAAAAGCATGAACCAATTTATTTTATTGATTACCTCAGAAATGACTCATCTAATTTCTCCGAATTCTTAAGAATGCTGTTACGTTATGTTGTGATTATTAACTGACCATATGCATATCACTGATCACTTCATCTAAAAATTATTACGTAAATTTTGCAGGCCCCAATATATATGCAGTACTTGTTGTGCTGCATAGGCGAAGGAAGTTCTGTATGAATACGTGCACATATGTTTTTGATATCTGTATTCCAGACATTGTACGCTACCATGTGTAGCAGCTGACATAATTGTATGTTTGTACAAACTTTTATTTATTATTACTTTTTTAATTATCTAGCGATTTGTTTGTTTTGAAATATTGTTCTCATCATTATATTGAGATCTCTCGTGTTCTCCACGTCTGACAACGTGTTGCAAATATTTACATAACGCACTATTGCCTTACTTTCGCTTTTTTGTGTAAATAATACGTCACAGACACACCACTGTATTAACCGACACACCTTTCCCCGTTTTTACGTATTTGTGACCTTGTCAATGAATAAAATATGGTTCTGTCCAAATCCGAATTAATTAAGTAGTCACAAGGTCCTAGCTAGATTTTGCAATTTTACAAAAATGTGCTCCGTCTTGAAAGTTATTTAAATTATTTAAGCGAAACTAGTACGGCAGCAACGAAAATGAAATTACTTTTCCTGGTACATATAAATCTAATAACTAACTAGAGCTATAGAAGCTTCGAATTCCTGCACATAAAATTGTGTTACGAATTTCGTAACACTTAAAAGTTGTATTTCCTAAATTTAAATTAATATTAACGAATTTGGTTCATACTTAGGTCTTACTTTGACATTTAAAAACTAGGTATATATCAAAGTTGAACATTTTTTAAAATTTAGTCTTCCAGATCTAGGATATTTTTCATTATGTAAAGTGTTAATTTTTAACAAATTTCTTTTTTCATGTTCTAGGTGCGCACACCGCAGGTATGTAATTAAATTACACTTCGTGATATTGGTGTATACTTTTACACAAAAAATGAGTCCGGTAATAGTAGAACAAGTTCAAGATTTAAACTTGACAATGACTGTTAAGTATTATTTTAGCGACTCATGACAAATTTTTGACAATATTTTACGCAACAGAAAAAGAGTTAAAGATTTCTTGCAAGATTCTCGTTACGTGAAAGGTGTACATTAATACATTTCATCAACTGACATTGAAATTTATGCAACTTTTGTAATTTTCTCTTTAATTAATGGCTTGTTGAAAAAACTGTATTAAACAATACTGCTATAATTCAACCAGATAACAATAGCAATGCCCAGGTTCCGCAAAAATTGGCGGTTAAATGCTGAGTAACAACACTAACCTGTAATTATTGAACATTCTAATATTCGATTCTACTTATTTTGTTGTTATTATTTTTAGAACTAACTGCGTTATACAAAATTAATATAACAACATAATTTTTGTAATAGCCAGTGTATATTAAATAAGAAAAACTCACGTTTTTGTGTCTTATCTAAAACGTAAGATATTTTTTTTATAAATTAATTAATTCAGGCTTCTACTAAATGTCAAACTGTGTAAGATAACAGATAATAATATCTTTCTTTAATCTATTTTACATATTATCCAACTTCTGTTGTGTTATTTACAGGGGCTTGGTACATATATGATGATTTGCAACATTTTCACTGAACTTGAAAGGACATGGTTCCATAACGTTTCGTGGCTAAATAAAGTAGGGGTGGTAAAGTGATACTTCTTTCAGTTTATTCTTGACCGGCATCAGTAAAAGTTCTTGTAGTTGATATCGACCATGGTTAGTGCTTTTACTACTGTAACGTGTGTTGATTGCAAATTGTGTACTCGTGTTTGGTGAAAATACGACGCTTGAGAATTTGCGACTCTAATTATTTTTATTGTTGTGTTTCACATTTTAACTATTTTTTTTTCGCTAATTTTGTGTGATTTTTAATTAATTTTGTGATGTAATAAAGTGATTCATAAACAAAGGTTATGTTCACTTTGAAACTTGTGTAAAAGTTTTAAAATGAAATAATTTGGCAGAAATTAATATTAAAACTGTTGAAAGCTAACGATGAATAATGTTTTTACCACTAATATTACGTATTTTTTTTTAATTGTAACAATTAATTTTATTTGCCATTTAAATTTTCTTTTACTTTTAAATATTTTACCTTTTCATAGAACATAGTAACAAATAACCAGAGCTATCCATATTGTATTTCGTTTTAATTTGACTCGAGAAACTTTTTTTACAATTCTTAGCAAGCTTTACTGAAAATTTAAAAGTGCATTGTTCGTACATATATAGAATATCACAACTTTCCCATCGTAAAAGATTACCTATTTTCTGTAAATTATTGTGGAAACATTTTTACAATGCTAACACAAAGTTATTTACTCTACCACATAAAATTACTTTACACCATATAGGTGTTCTATTTGTAAGTAGAGCACACAACTTAAATTTCGCACTAAAAATGTACCAACTTGTAATAAAAAAAATTTTATCGCATTTTTAACACGAATCTGAGTATTTAAATTTTGGCTTACTATCAAGGTCGTAGTACGAGAAAGCTAAAGTGTGTTAAAATTATTATGCAATTGAAGACCCTAATAATTAAAAATTAATGAACAAAGCAAGTTGAAAATGAATTTCTAGAAAAATGTGGTAACCATTATAATAGTTAAATGTCCAAGTTCATTAAAAATTAAAATTAATTAACCGTAAACATCGAATGATCATTATAGTTAATTTTATAGATAATCGGGTTTATATTTTCATTTTTATTTATCAGTTTTTTGTTTGAATTTTGAATATTTTGACGCCACTGATTTGATTGAAATTTTAGTAAACACTAGGGTGGAGAAAATTTGTTGATGAACATGGTTTATTTCTACCTTTTACTCTTTAACACTCTGAAAATTTTATTGAGTTTAATATTTCAAAATAAACTTCAATCATTACCGATTTACATAATATATGCTTAACGCATTTGGTAATACGAATGTGTAAACTGCATTTAACTAGGTTTTCCTGATATGAAATGCAGTGTAATTAACATTATCAAGTAACTACGCTACACATTTAGTAAGTCAATTTTTTCAACAATTGAACTGATTTATTGATTAATTACGTCTACTCTGTTTTTGAATAAATATTTTAGTTTGTAGGGCACAATACCAATTACATTTATTCTTAAAGAATTCAGCAATTAAATACAAGATGTTCATGAAGAAAATAAAACAACAGAGCTTTGTTTAGAAAATTTCGTCACATGTTAATAATAGTCTTCCTAGTATTGCTAGATAAACTGTGTAAAATATTACACTGTTGACGAAAAAAAATACTTTTTTTTATTTTGTGAAATAATACAAGTAGCTAAGTAATACATGTGTTATCGAAATCCTTTTTGCAAATGAACTGTGTATAATAATGCAACACCTATAATAATACATAATTATGTCACACAATGTACTGTCGCATCCATTGGAATACCGAGAAATTTTTTGAGAGGTCATGGTTATTAAGATAACGTGATGACAAAAATAGATATATACATAATAGATTGTTATCTTACTTAATAAATAAAAGAGTTGATAAATGCATGCTCGAAGCTTGAAGCATTGACGAATTAAAAGATTTTTAACAAGTCACTAGAAATCATATCACGAAGTAGGTACTACATAAATTAAAGAAAAAACAATTTTTAAGCAAGATATCGAACTTCTTCTTCGCGTGCAAATATTGAGTGGAAAATATAACGTTAATAGTAATTTAAATCACATAAATTATGTTAATTTAAACCTCATATTTCATTTGAATTTAATGATAGTGAAATGCACTTCGTGACATAGTTAGGGAATGGTAGTGCTGCATAACATAGAAAAAACATGCAATTAGACGTTCGTCAAAATGATGCCAGCTATCACTCGGGAAGTAAAAGCAGTTTGCATAAATTGGCAAGTGTCAGAATTTCGAAAATTGCTTCGCTGGCCTCTTTTTAGATGTACATAAGCGAGATGCTTCAGCAGTGTGGTGCATAAATTCGATAAAATATTGAGGAGTGAAACTTGCCAAAAACGCTCAGATACATCAATTTAGCTTCCACGGTCCATATAGTAGCTTTGATATATTTAGCTGATGACGATTTTTAATAAAAGGTTTACTGTTTTATTAAATTCATAATATAATAATTTATCAAATAAGTTTAGTAAATAGACAGAACTGTATGTAAATGTTGGACTCAAGTTAATCCTCGCGGGATTCATAATTTTCATGCACAGCATTTTCGTGAAATCAATGTTATAATATAATGTGTAATATGCATGGTCATAGTATTTGAGCATGTTTCCAAAGGTCCAGATATGCCTGGTGGTCACATTTGATTCAACAAAATGGTGCTCCACCTTAATATGCTGTTTATGTTTGGCATTATTTTGACAAACTTCTCCTAAATAGACAGAGAAAATAATCAGGTCTCTCGACTCAACACCACAAAAATTTTCCTTGTGAAATTAGATACTTTAAATTCAGAGTGTATGTATTATTGGGGTATTGATGATTTTTTTTTTTGGAATTCTACCATTCTGTAAACATATAGAGTAATTCTTAAAATGATCCACAATGTACGAGAGTTTTCTTTTAATTTTCTTTTAGGGTAGTTTGAAATTGTTTAGGTTGCTCTTTTTGAACATTTATCATAATTTAATTATTAAAAATTACAGGAGTACAATTTACTTCTTAATAATTTTATATTTTTTTAATTAAGTAATAACTGATTCAGGTAGGCAAATTTCCCTGTTTTCCTTCTTCTTAAAAATAATAACTTGGAAGTTGCAGGTTGGGCCACTTTTTTTCGAGCAACGTGATTGATAATATTTGGATATATTAAAAAAAAAAACTGAATTTGTTTCATTGTACTTCAGAGGCGATGGAAGTTTTCTCTAATAATATGAGACCGACTTTTATTTCTGTTTTCTCTGGAGAACAATAAAAAAGTTACGACGTTTAACTAGGGATACAATTTTCAAAAAAATTTGACCCTTAATGAAACTGTAGCCTTTCAAATAACGATGTTACAAATATTTTTTGAGCTAATATAAATACAATATTTTTTATTTGATGTGATGCCACTTTTCCTGCCTTTGGATTTGTGTTGTAAACATTTTTTAAGAGTTTCGATTCCGTAAGTTTATGTGGAATACGTTGTTTTAGAGATAATGAAATATACAATTTTGGATAGAGTCAACAATAAAACTTCATAAAAATAAAAATTCCCTGCCCCTTACAGTCGAAAATATAAAATTTGATGTTGCAAAATTTTACTTATTTTATGATAACCCCTATAAGTAAAAAATATAGATAATACAAGTCACAGTGAAAAAAAAACGTTAAGAATGGAATTCGAACCCACACGGCGAAGTGCACAAGTTCGAATATCAGCTGTGAATTCCATTCGACCACGAAACATTTTTTGATGCAGAGAAAATATTGCACAAACATTTTTTGTAAGTTAATTGTGGTAAAAATCAAGGTGGATTCATAAACTACCAGTATAAAGTCCAGGCTAGTTCTATATGGCCAGTTTAGAGGAAGGTTAGTTATATTGTCTATTTATTTATTTATTTGATTATTTGATTATATTAATTATTTAGTTATTTATTTATTTATTTATCTATTATTTATTTATTTATTTATTAAGCGGGAAATTTTGATTTTGTACATTTTTACGTATTATGTTCAACTTCTTCAATATTTAAGATAATTTTACCTTTATCCAAGTTTTCCCCTAAAGTCCGAACAAACGTCTTAAACCTCGCAATTTTCCAAAATTTACACTAGGGAATGGACAGATACAAATGGTCCGGACTTATTTTATCATTTTATATAACTTTAACCACTCAACGTGATGAGAGGAGAATTTACCATCTACACCATATTCCTAACATGCATACCAATTTAACTACAATCGGTCCAGTAGTTTCGGATATTATTTGTCTAATAAAATGGACACAGACGCTAGACGACAGACACACAAATGGAAACGGGAGAGTTATGTTTTGTTACTCTAGGGCTCATGAAACGTCGAGAAAACATGAAAGTAGCTATTCGTTGGTTTCGCTTACGCCTCGGAAGTAAAAAAAATCATGGAATCTCACTTATCGTAGATCGTATCCTTGGGAATGTTCACAATTTAATTACTTAAAAATTGATCTAAAGTTATATATTTAGATAGAATTTTCCTCGTCCCTTAAGCATAATCAGGGAAATCCAAGTTCATAAATAAGTTATAAAATTTGATTTTGAGAAATTTATTTTTTATGACAATCTTTAACGATTAAAATAATTAATAGAAGTGAATTAGTAAACTATAAATAAGTGGTGACATCATCGCCTTTTTAGCAAGGCCAATTACATCAGTTTCGATAGGGTAATACCAATAACAACAGTAATATACTCCTAGAATTTCAGGAGAATAATAAATCTATTTCAGTCAATAAAATGGACTATTTCCGCATTGATTTTTTAGACATCTTGTGTAAGTAGTTCTAATAAAAACCAAACCACAAGTAGGTGTATCATCAAGATACATTTTGATTAGCGATTATCATGCTTACGACACTTTTAAATTATTCGCAAGAGTTCAAGGCAGTCTATTTTGTAGTTACAAAATTAAACGTTGTTGTAAACATTTCGAATTTTCTTCAGTCAAAATGTCTAAGGTAAAAAATATGAGCGGATTCATAAACCACCAGCATGTTATATTATAAAATTTAAATAGAATTTACTTACAAAAATTTTGACATGACGTCATTAAATTGTCAGTGGGGATGATTAGACAAATTTTGGTTTGCGTTTAATGATCCACACTACATTCCCAAAATACATGTAAAATTTCAAAACAATCGGTCGGAGATTATTAGTCTTATAAAATCCCTAATAGACAACAAATGACAGATAGAATCGGGAGATGTATTGGTTCATACTATAGATATACAATTTTTAAATCTTTTGCAATAGGAGTATTATAAAAAAATGAAAACTATAGTTATACACATGATAGTTCCAAAGTTATTTTGGATAATGAGAGTATGATTTATGTACCCAAAACAAGCAGTGAATTAAATATGATCAAATACCTAAAAGAAAAATTACACTTGAAGGCTTACCTATGACTTTGACATCTGGGTCCAAGGATTTTTTTAAATTATTTTTTCTTTGCTCAATAAAAAATTCTTAAAAAGGTGTTATAGTGTTAGTGCGCTATTTTGGAATCACTCTGTATAGTTTAACATCCTATTACGGATTTTTTCCGATACAGTTAATGGATATTTTCGCACCTAACAACACAACTCATGTGTGCTAAAAGTTGTTTAAACCTAAATTAAAAAAAAAAAATGCACACAAATTCTACTCTTAAACACACAGAAAATAATACCTTCGATGAATTTTTATTTATAAAATTTATAATATCAGATTATGTTAGCTGAACAACTATCTAACTTATTTATATATATTTCTACGATAACAATAATTAATAAAGCATTTTCATTTGTAGTAAACGAAGGCCGCACTTGCAGCGTAACTAATACACATTTTATAAAAGTTAATTTTTAATTACGAAACTTTAACAAACTTGTCTGTACAAACAAACAAACTGAATTGTATGCTAAAAATAGTAAAGTCGATAATTTATTCATTATATTTTCTAATTCAGCAGTCTGTCACTCTCCAGATCTCCATATAGATTAAATAACAATTACACCACCAGTTAATAACTAATTTTTAATTTCTTTCCAGATTACCACACACATTCTTCTCCTGTTCACACTGACAGTGATTCCACACACCCCAGCCCAAAACTTCGTTCCCAATGCACAATACAGCCACGAAATAATTTTCTCCAACGAAGACCTCTTAAGCCAATCCGACAGTGATCCTGAAATCCTGCCGCTTGCAACGACTAGCAGAGTATCGAGCGAGAGTGATTTCCTGCCAGCAGGAAATGTGTTCAGCAGAGGACCTGCTCTCGATTCTGTCGACCTGTTCACTCCGAACACAGTACAACAACCTGCCGAGACGCCGGGTCAGATTGAGAATTACCGGAAAGCGTTAGAGGAGGAAGCGAGGGAAGCGGAAAGAGCGGAGAATGCAATTACGACGGTGTTTAGGGATAGAATCGGGGGTGAGAGTAACCTACAGCCCAAAAGTTATGTGAGCGTGAAGGTGGGATTGGGTAACAAAAGGTACGATTATGGATACACGGTGTGAGACATGGGGGTAATTTAGATGACAGGCAGTATTGATCGAAACGGTATTAGAATTGACACTCAAATTATTTTTGTAACGTACAATTTTATTTATTTTGTATAAAAAAATTTATATAGCCATATTTTTGTTCGCGTTTGTGGTTATTAGTTTGTTCTTATAGTGATGTTATCTGTTAAAACTGTAAATACTTTTTTATTTTTATAGATGTTTATTTAATTATAGAGATATATGCAGATTATTTATTATTGATTATTTTCTTCCCATTACTGCGTTTTGGTTTAGCAATAAAGGACAATCACATATTAAGCGTTGGGTTAGTTCTGAAAGGATCAGATACTAAAATTGCTGGATATAAATAAATAGTATATTTATAAATGCCCTTGTATCTCTCTTCACAAACTTTGCAAACGGTTTTCAAAAATTTTAGGTCATTGTCATCCTTAAACTAATTTACGCATTATATTGTTAGGCATAAGACCGAAGATTCATAGAGGTGTCCGGATGATTGATGATCGTGGAAGGTCGTTTCTGGTCACTCAACAATAAAATGGGTTATGAATTATAATTATTTAAGTACGTACCTAATTTAAAAACATTTTTTTCTCTACAGGATGTTCTGTTTCGAAATTGCACACTAAACCTTTTTTGAATAGAAGTTTTAGTTTTTGTAAAACTATCTGTCGATGCTTATAGTTTTCACTTTTCCTCTCGGCGACAGCTAAGTTTAATCTGATGTTTGTCCGCATTTTTTAGTTCGGAAATAAGCAACTGAATATTTTCCTTCACCATCTGTTGGTTATTCTAAAAGAAAATATGTTTTGCTATCAGATTTTGCAGCCTATATTATAAATCACACAACGGACCTCTTCGAATTTCGGTTTGGAGGGTTTTGTATAAGAAGCTGGTGACGTCCTTTCAAAATACCAATAATGCCAAGAATAAACCACGAAATCAAGAAACTGAGAAATCCCGGTCCTAAAAAAATGACCTTTAAAAAGTCGAAAATAGATTCGGAAATTGGTTAAGATTCGCTGCGACGGTTGACGAGCTGTCCCATCTTCGCAGGAGTCGAGCTGATTCCTACACTTGTGTTACCAGCTGATGATCTCGAAGTGGAAATGGGTGAAGTGATTATCATCAACCATTTCAATTAAATCATCTTTTAAACAGAAAAAATCGCACTGAAATTGCTTGATCCGTTTGGGAGCTAGGGACACAGACAGACATAATTATAACATCCATTTTTTTTGTCAAAGATTAATGAATATTCTGTGTTGCTTTAATATACGTTTACTCATATTGTATGGTTACACTTGGCTCTAAATCCTTAGGTTTCTTTTTTAATTTCCTGTTGTGGGTAGTAGACGATAACAACTTTTTTATGGATTTATAAAGGTCGATCTATTAAATCACACCTACAAAAACTACTCATATTGCATAAAAGTGAAATTATTTACTAGAAGTCCAGAAAGATCTAAAAATTTTGCCACGAAAAATTTTTGACGGAAATGAATAAGTGTGTACTCGTTCGATATTTTCGGTGATTACTCGTTCTGACAAACAGACATATCACAGACCGCAACCACAAACAGGTAGAAGGAAACGGAAACTAAAATAAACACATGAAATAATACATTCGTCAAAATATTCCTATTACGATACTTCCCTTTGATTATATGTTTAACTTAGACGAATGGTTTTCTGGGTTGCACGCGCGTTATGATAGAAATTTTTACAATTCTATTTCCTATTTAAGTTTTCTTTATAAAGACCATTTTAGGAAATGAAAGACATGCTAATTTTAGTATTTGTAGATACTAGTATATAATGTAAATTGCTGAATTCCAGTTACAAAAACTTTGGTAAAGTTAAATTTCTTGTTTCAAAAATTTTCAGTTAAGATGCCCTTCGACAAGTTCAGTGTTATATGCCCGATTCTAATAATAACTCTCTTACTAGATAAAAGTGCACTCCATTTCACAGCTGGTGTGCATACCCTAAACAGTATACACGAAACACAATGAAAAATGACTCGAGTTAGAGCTCATATACGAGGGGAGGTTAAGTTCTGTTGTGCAAAAATGTAATTTTATTTGATTTAGATTAGAAGACTATTTAATCACGAGGTACATATGCAGTAAAATGTACATACATATTTAGAAATATAACTTAAAATTTTGTGTGCCATATGAAGACAAACAAAAATAAACTGATGGTCAAAAATGAGTATCAGCGCCAAGTACCTACGTACTACTTTCCACAATCCTAAGGCAATAACGGAATTAAACCTGAATAACGCAACCAACTAATGAAAGTAAATTTGTCTGGTTCAGTCATGTGCAACATGTTTTTATTTTTTAGCACTTATATTCAAAATATATGACTTGATTGTATTATCAACAATAGAGGTAGATTTACATTTATGAAATGATACGCAGTTGTCCGTGTGGTTGTAAATATTATTCTGTACACAACACAAAATAAAGAAAACGTACTGAGTCATATATGCTACAGTTTTGTGCCAAACTTAAAAACAAATATTTTTAACGTCACAATTGTCTGTGTCATAGGAAAAACAATAGTAAGGACAGTGACCTTCCTGGTTTCTAAAATGTGAACATTGTGTTAATTTATAATTTGTTGCTGAATGACTTCCAAATGTTATAGTGTAACGTCTTTGCACGATATAATTATAGAACTAGACAAATATTGTGTTATTTTAATTGCTCATTAAGGTACTGGATACATTGTGCTTGCACAATTTTTATGAAGAGTAGAATGTTAATCATAAATAAGAGTGTACGTCATTTGAAATATTAATTTATTACAGAAATTTAGACATGATATAAATATTGTTATAAGTTGTGTTTCACTTCTAGATTTCGAAAACTATTATAGTAGTGAGGTTATGCGCTTTTATCACACGTGGTTCGAAAAAAAAAATGCGAGCATATCTTATCTACAATAATGTCTTTCGCTTGTGCACGAATGTATCTATTCGAAGAATTTCCGTGCCTTCATTAATATCTTGTTTCATGGAAAAATGACTCAATACTTTACCGCGAATAACGTGATTGATCAAAAAAAAATTTGGGGAATATCAATAAAAAGATTCCTATAGATACGATATCGATACCTGTAACTTGGTTAAATATTTACTTTTACTAGTAATTTGTAGATGGCAAAACTATACATCAAAGTTGAATTGTGTCAGTCTGCAATTTACTGGTATTTTAATATACATAATAAACTGTATTATTTTTTTTTAATTAAAGTCTCTTTAATCGATTAACTGCCTTTTCTAAGTATAGATGCGGCTAGCCAGTTGGTGACATCGATTTCGTGTATGCCTCCAAAGATACTAGTAAATGGTGACGTCTTCTCTAATCTAATTAATTGTTGCATATTAAAAAAAAAGTTTTATTACGTCACAGGTGCTTAATAAATTAACATAAAAACAGGGAGGAAAAGTTCATTTTTCTTGTTTTGGTATAAATATATCATGATAGATTCGAAAATGATATTATGTCAATCCCAAACATTTGTTTGTTAAATAAGCCACGCTTATATGGACTTATTATTATTAAATGGAAAGATCTGAGGAACAGAACCGATTTGAATGAGACAAAAGTAAAATAGATACATAATATGCACTCAGTTTTGTTAGTGACGTTTATTATTATAATAAACGGTATAATAGTTATAAATGATATAATACTATGTTTTTACTTATAAAATAATAAATTTAGTGAAATTAAGAGAAAATAAAAAAAAATATTGTACTCAATTTCGTTAGTAGGTACTTATATAATTAGTATTAGTGCTTTTTAATTAATTAACGACTCTTGGTGCTTCTGATAAGGTTTGATAGTTAGCTGTGTTGACTTCGAGTGAAATTTAACTAATTGAAAATTATGTAAAACGTATGTTTTGAATTGTGGTAATGTTGGTTGCCTATACAAACATTATATCCAACAAGATTAATTTTATTTATTTAACATGCAAATTTGTCTATAAATGATTTCCACTCGAATTACCACTGAAAATGCAAATTTTTCTAAATGTATCTGTCATGTTTATGCATTCACCTCCCATCATCAGTTTAGCAGTTTGATTACAGTTCTTTTTTCAGTAAGGTACTAAATTCCAACGCCCACCTCGAAATAATAATAAAACTTTTTTATAAGCAGTCTGCATAATTATGATTGACAAACAACAAAAAGATCTATTTTATTTTTAATTATGGTTACCTGATAACCTTTTAGACTTTTTTATAAGTCACTTTCAATAATGGCAAATTAAGTAAGTAACCTGATAACAAAGTAAACCTCCTACAGGTATTTACATATATTAAAAAGAAAACTGCATACATTTTGAGACAATTGACTGAATAATAATTAGATAAAAGCTGTAGAAGAATGTGATATTTTGTAGCATGTTATTATTAACTATATAAGTATACGTTTTTTAATCCATGCATATGGAATAGATTCAATTGTTAAATTAAAATATTAGAACTATTTCTGAGTTTTTTTTTGTTACATAAATTTAAATATTTTTTGTTCTATCAAGCATTTTGGAATATTTAACACCTATAGTTACTGATTGGTATTGATGAGAATTGAGAAGCGCTTCTGCTTGCTACAATTTAAAAAAAGCTTGATACTTACATAGAATAATGGCCAAATTATTATTAGCGTTTTCTGTGAATCATGAAAATTTGATTTGCATTGAATAATGAATACTAAGAGATTTGTCTTGACATTGACTGTTCCATTTCATCGTTAAAAACATTTCCAGCATTCTATCTAGAGTTGTTTTGTGAACTTTATTTGAAAAGAAACCACACCTTATCCTTATTTCAGGTTCAAGATCAGACTGGGTTTTAAAGGTTACCTACACGTTAGTTTTAAATAAAAAATCAATTTTATATTTATATCCCACAATAGTGAGACAGTTTGTAATTTATTTGGATATTCGTAAGTATTTATTTTAACATATAAAAAACGTATTAGTTATATGTTTATTATTTCCCATCTAAATTGCAGAACATAAATAACACTTTATTGAGATTAGAACTGTAACCTCGACTTTTATGTTTATGTTGTTTCAATAATTGTAATTCCTTCTGCCCATATAAAGAGCAGAAAAAATTACTAAGTACTCACTCATCTTACTGTATTTTCTTATTTAATACCGCATACATGAAAATAATATATTTACCAAACGTATTTTTATTGACACTTGATAGTGAAATTTTAACCTCGACTTAACTTTCCAACAAAACGTATACCTGTTGTTTCAAAACTACCGGATCCTTGTATCCGCAAAACCGTGCTCTTGACTTCCGACTGAAACCTGCTCCACCTAATGTAAATCCGGAACCAACCCATTTATTCATACAAGATAAACCACGTTAACCTTATGATGCAACCACTAGTTTAACGGGAGCAGGTAAACTCAAGGTGAACTTAATGCACTTTCATTTCTTTGTTTAGTTGCCAGGCAGACAATAATTTTAACATTTAAATTAACATTTTTATTATGAATATAATACAGTCATGGAAATGTAAATTAAAACAAGTCGAAAATGATTCCTAATTAAAACTTAACTAATGTTCAGGATTTTTGAAAAGAATAACTAAAACCATCTGGCGACCTGTTGAGCGATAATTTGCCAGGGGGGTAAAATCTGTGCGGGGCTGGAGTTGTGGTGTAGTAGGCTTCTGGCCTATACTGAGGCTGAGGCTGAGGCTGAGGTCGAGACTGAGGCTGATACTGTGGCTGAGGTTGGTATTGGGGTTGAGGCTGATACTGGGGTTGAGGCTGGTACTGGGGTTGCGACTGGGGCTGGTACTGAGGCTGTGGACGGTATTGAGGCTGCGCTCTATATTGATCTTGGTACTGTGGAGGGTTGTACTGAGGTAAGGGGGTGTACTGAGGCTGTGGAGCTACAGGAAGGGTTGTTGGCAAGGGTTGAGGAATTCCATCTCCAGAGGCTTGGAAGCCGTGTTTGCCAGCGGTGTAGCTCACTGTGTGTCTTTGGCCTGTGGGGTCTACGTAGGAGTAAGTCCCACGACGAGTACCATCAGCATCACTTTCTTCTTTAAACTGAACGCCATCTTCTTGAGAGTACTGAGCACCGAATTTACCATCGCCGCTCAAGTACCTCTGTTCGTTGATAATGGCAGCTTGTTGCGGATCACCTCTGTAGGCCTGTCCGAAAACAGCTCCCACGAAGGCGGCAAGGACCAACTGAAAAAACACGCCATTTTGAGGATTTTTGTCATATAAGCACGAGAAATAAAAAAGCACTTAAAGAAAGTCACCAAATTAGAGAAGATAACACTAGAGCACTGATATCACTGCCAAAATTTTGGATACTCACTATTCTGTACATGATAGTGGTGCTGATGGTCTACCAAAGAGGCAAACTACGACTACTGCCCTCTCACGGCGCTCAGTTAGGTTTTATACTGCGGTCCAACCTTGGTAAGTGCGACCCTGGAACACTCCCTACGAAGAATTGAGCTTTGTCCATACGCAGATGCCACCACGCGATTCCCACAAGATTCGGCGAGATGATCAGATCGAATCACCAAATGTTAATTGTGCAGAAACTCAAAAATTTACATTAAAATGTTTGCAAAACTCGTTTATTTGTAATTTAAATGCTGCTCGTGTGTCATTTCATTAGTACCCTATTTTTTTCGCGACGCACGGTTACATCACAGACCCTATTTTTTGCAACCACCATTATCATATCAGCACCACGTGAGTCGAATAATCAAACCTTTTGAAGAAACAACTTTCAACTTGACTTGCAAAAGCCGGATTTTTTAATAATTCCAAATCAGAATGATATTCAAAATAAACACCTTCATACTGTACCTCCGGTTCAACTTCCTTCATTCTGCGCTCATAAAATATCACTAATGAATAACAAATTCTCCAAATTGCAACAGAATGCCATTATTCTAATCGAAATTGCAGGAAAATGTTAAATCAACTAATTAAAACGACCTATTTATGGTTTTAACAGCAACTTCCTAAAGGCATTCGCGGATAAATAATCTTCTAAGTCAAAGTGTAAGTCGGCAAATTCATGCATGAGTTCAAGCGTCACGCTGTTGTTGCCTGAACCTTGTTGAAATGTCAGTTGTTTAAAAAAATTGTCGTAAATATATACGAAAATGGCGGCAACGGTCGCTTATTTCTGTTTACGCAAGAAATGTGCGAACACGCATCAGCTGAAATTAAAACAAGTCTATTGACACCGTTGAGGGTCGCCGCACAGGAAGGTAGATCGGAAGGTCATCCGGTGCCCCAGAATCCGGGTGAAACACGCCCAGCAGGAAAGTATGGTTTTAAGAGATAGAGTTGTATTGTTATTACGTGAGTAATATTACATTTAAGTCATGATAGAATCTGGATGAGCTCATATAACGGAGTCACGATTGAACTTTTTGACTTGTTACTTTCATCTAAATCATGTCTGCGTAAAGCTTGTTCGATAGGGTAACTGCAGTAAAATTTACATTATACGTTAGTTTTGTATTATCGTAGTAATCAAATTTATTTAATCACTATTTGTAGAACTTACTTTACGTACCTTTTATAATTTTATTTCGTTGATCAATTATTTGAATAATTTATGCAGAAAATAACTTCCGAAATAATAAAGATAATATGTATATGTTGCTTTGCCATGAAACGGGATAACTACATTTTCAAGATTAATGATTCCTTGTAAATAGAGATCACAATAATTCTTGACTTTTGGGTGAGCTTGACAATTTATTTTTAAAACTACCGTCAATATAAGCAACATTTTTTCAAAATATGTTATAAATTTAACCTGTTTTTTTTACTTGAATGGTACCATTGAATCGGTGGCCATGTTAGTCGGGCAAAAGGCCTATATTAATTTTGATAAATTGATAATTTTGAAAATTTAGATATGATGTGACATATTCCATAATTAAGATTATCGTAGATAAAGAAACTGTAAAATTTAAATGCTCTCTTTATACTTAACATATAAAAAAGTTTCTTATTTTCACTTTAAGTTATTAAATAAAGTAGTGAATACTTCAGAACATATACATCATCTTTAAAATTAAGTTACATATAATTAAATAACGATTAGGTATCTACATACCTAAAAGATAATGAAAATAAATCAAAAACAAAGTTTTTAGTAAATGATTGATTGAAACTACTACAAAATATTCTGTAATTTGTGTATCCAGTAATCATTTAAGTTGTCAATTGAAGAAGACCTTGACGAAAAATCCTGTGTTTAAATGATTAAATACTTGTTGTTTTCCAACGGTTACTCGTCTCTAAATTATTATTTACAAATGTCAGTCAAACATCAAACATCATGATTTAAAAGCCACACGAGTCGCACGAGTGTTTAGAAAAACGTTTTTGATTCATCACATAAAGCATTTATGTCATGATGTTTATTTTGTTCAAAATTTAATACTGACGGTAATTTGAGAGACTTTTTTTGATAAATGACGAGAGATTTAAATGTACATTTGTTATACGTGGAAATAAATTGTACGAATTAAGTATAATTTAAAATTAAAATTTCTATACGTTATGCAACATATTTTACAGCTAGGCGTTGTTGTACGTAGCCGTTGAGTTGGTGAGAGAATTTGCTTCTTGTATTTTTTTTTATTTTCCGTAATTTTTAGGTACTGACCTTATACTATTTGCAGTAAAATCTCTAGCAAAAAAAAACTCATTGGAGTTATTTAATAAATAATAAAAACAACTAGTTTATTATTATATTTACACTACCTTCTAATTGAATATGGTCTTACCCACAGAACATTTATACTTATTGGTGGTTGCATATCTTAAATTTCTTAATGGAGAAATGACACGGATTCCAGGGTCTGCAAAAATTATACCTAGATCACCTAGATGGCACCAAATAGCAATGTATTGTCTTTGTCATTTCTATTGAAACACCACCTGTTGATTTTGCTTAAAATTTAGCAATTGGTAACAGCTTTTAGTTGACTGACAACGGCTTTTAGTTAGAAAATTGTCTGAATATAAACGTTGCCAAATTTACGATTAACAAGTGGTGTTTCAATAGAAATGGCAAAGACTATACTTTAAGGTTACAAGTTACACTTTTTTTTCAAGGTGTGGCGAATTCCGTGTATGCACAAGTAATAAAGAGGAACCTATGTCATGCATCACACGAAGAAGCATAAGTGTGTAGTAAATCTGCACTCTGTGCTGGGCAGGATCTTGGTGAGGCGACTACACAAAATTTAAATTGACTTTAGTACACAACGGAAAGATGGAGACTGAAGTAATTTTACAAAAAAATTTTTTTTAAACCTATATATTTAAAGTTTCGTTTACATTTTCAAGTTGTACTAAATAATGATGTCACTCAGGATAATTGTTTTATTTTCCATGGCGCTATATTTTCAGCAGGGAAGAAAATAAAACGCCATAATTTTTTAAGTACCTATTTGAAGGAGAAGTGTCTGAATATTATATACGTTTAATAGTAACATAAATGTTGTTTAGAGAAAATATTAATTCTATTTCTATCTATTTTACATTTACAACCTTATTAATAATAATAACATATCATTTCACGTTTAAATTTGAAATAAAATACCGGTTTTCTATTTTTTTATAATATTTGCTTTATTGTAAATTTGTGGCATACTAGCTCGATAGTCATTCGATATAATGTCAAAACAAATCAATGACTTCATAGATTTTCTAGAATAGCAGGCAAAAACTTTTAAAAAGTGTCCATGTGAAGGTATTGTGTCGATATACAGTAGTAGTAGTAGTAGTTTAGAAATGTCGTGTACATGGTAAAACAATAACTAAAATTCGTTTAATCATCGCCACCAATAACCATGCATTCGGTTTTGCAGTTTCAAAATTAAATTGTAAATTTTTGTTATACAGTTTTTTTTTTCCAAAAATATGGATATCGAGATTAACAATTCAAGACCGATTCATAAACCACAAATGTAGGAGTATGCTATTTTGTAAAATTTAAATCACATTTTGAGGTGACATTATTGTTGGTGGGGATATTTAGTCAACTTACGCTCGGGAAGAATTGTTTAATTTCGGACCTCTGAGCGTACTGTACCTATAAATATTTATTAAACAATATATGCAAAATTTCGTTCTTAAAATACTGCTTGATAGCCTTACCGTAGATTTTGTTGTAAGTTAATGTTGTAACAACGGATCTCTTTATGACAAAATTAAACACACAGACAAACAAATACCGGTAGTATGAGTGATCATCTGGTAGATTCTTTAATATCTTAGTACGAAAACTGTAGTCGTAGCGACCTCCTCAGTAGGTTTATTTCTGAAGTCTAGAATTCGTGTTTTTGTTAGTTTCTCTAGCTTGTTAACGAAGAACTGTTATGTGGTTATTCATTTTATTAAAAAAAATATTGATTTACATACTGCAGTATTTGTTTAAAACTCTTTTCTTGGTAAATAAAATTCGTCAATATCGTCGCAGAGTTTCATTTTTATAAATTTGTATTTTCTGTCATCTGTATCGAATATTTCATTCTTAAATACACTAAATAATTGTCCTCCACCTCATTTCAAGGAGAGAAGGAGATGAGTAGAACATTTATAACATGTTTATGAGCTTAAATACACTCTTATTTCGAAATGTGTGCAAAATGCGAATAGCTATAATAAAATTTATTGCACTGTGTAAAGTTTACGTTCCTAAGTGGTAGCAATGTCTAGAAAAAAATATTTGAAATTAAATATAAATTGTTATACACGCCACTGGTAGTGTTTCTTAACCTACCATAACTACTACAATAAATCGCACAGAACAACTAGGCTTAAGAACCAAAAAAGCAACGCAATTCAGAGCGTGCCGACACGGTAATGCCTTATGGTGATGGCCAGGTTGGTCCGCGAATTGTGCATCAGTGGTACAGCATCTCATGGTACCTTCAAGCCTCAAACTCACTATCGTAGCCGTAATAAGATCGAAAGACCAACTGCAAGCTGAAGAGGAAATTTTAGAACACGTTGAAAAAGGGCCCGACATCAGCATTCGCTGACTTGCAGCTGGAGTGGGTACATGCTAGTTGGCTCCGGCGGACGGTATTTGACCCTCTGCCGAAAAATGGGTATAGGTAAATTGGCTCCGATGGTGCAAGGAAGGTAGATTTTATGGTACCTCCTACGGTGAGGGGATCATCTGCAGATACGTTATTTCCTGCTGTCGGAAGAGATGTGTTGTTTGAATTACAGGAACATATAATTCCATAGTCATCAAATTTCTATGTCTAGAAAGTGGTGGCGGTAAGGTAGTTACAAAGGGGTTTTCTGGTATTTCCCAGATTTGCGGGGTCTTTGAAGTAAGAGGATAACAATCGTTACGGTGAGAGTAAATATTTCTATACTTTTATTACTATCTACACTGGTCGAAAATGTCCATTCAACACAAAT